TTGACTTTTGTTGGATTCGGAATGATTTTGTTCGATGCGAAGGGTTGCGTAAATGTTTGTAATCCGCCTGTATAGCCGGAATGCATAAGTGAGCATCCTTTGTATTTCCATTCATCCGTTCGCTCGGAATTGCAAATTTTGCATCTTTTTTGCATGTGGTGGATCCATCCATACTCTTCACCTAGTTCTCCTATTTCTTGCTCTACATCTTCAACACACACATCATCTTAATCTCAACTATGCGGAGCATCTCGTTATTCTTGAATCTTATTATTTCGAATTCTTCTTGGACCGTTGTTTACTGAACGTCTTTGGACAACAAAGCATCGGAATCACATTAGGAATTAATTGCATAGTAAAGTGCGTATGTACATACACACATTCATGGGTTGGTTAGTTTGGCTTGACTTTGTTGGAGCGAATAAGTTGGGAGCTGAAAGGTATACAGAAAACTTCCCAGCAAACTATGCGTGAATCCTAAGTATGGTCTTAAGTAAGCACCGAATCCAGAAGTTCGTATTCACTCATATTGAATATGCCGCTATGTAATTTGCGGGATGATAACATTGTGATAATATGTAATAGCTTTGGTTTTCTGTTCAAATGCAATAAAATTGAGTGCGCTAAACTCCGCACGAAATGAAATTTTCAATTAAATTGCGTGCGAACCAGAAATTGCATTTACATTTGCCACTTAGCATAACGCTGTTTCATTCATTAAAATAATAACGTTACTTTTTTAATTAACTTTCATATCGTTCAATTTGCTTAATACTTGAGCTCGCTTGGAGGCGAGCTACTTCAGCGAGTAGTAGGTACAGCGAGATATTGCTAACGCGTTTGTGAATTGCAAAGCTTCTTCATTTTTCTAAGGAAATGCGGCACATATTTCCGCACAATACAATACCTGGTTTCATCTGCTCTTGGTTGTTGGTATGTTGATCTTCAATAATTTGATTAGTTTTTTTATTAATGCGTTTTTTGCTGTTCTGCGCAGAACCCCGTCGCATGACAATTATTTTCTCGTTTTTGACGTGCAATAAATTAAAACACGCTTCGCCTGATAAAAAAATGAATTATCTCACCTCGCAGTCCTCTTTTTCTTCTTTCTTTTGCGCTTGAAAGAAAACCGCTGTAAAAACCGGAAAGGAAGACAAACGCCTGCGCTTGCAGAAATACGTTGCGAAGTTTCCGCTCCCCGACGGCGCATTTCATTACTCATTCATCCCCTCATTCGCTGTCCCCGCGGTTGTAATGAAGTTAAAACGGGCATTAAGATAATAGCCTCATTAGGATTGCGATTAAGAGCATCGAGGCCTCTTAGGAGCGCGTGACAGCAGCGCCCGAAAGTTGCGGTATGAATACTGCACTCGGCACATACGCTCATTAAAAATTGCATTAAATCACAGCCAACACACACACAAAAGAGTGCATTCGGCGCTGCGTAAATCAAACACAATTTCGACCATCCCGGAATTGGGGGGCGAAAGTTATAATTGTTAAAGTTGGCGTACAGGTCTCCCCCGGCGGTTAATCATTAACCGCCGGCGGGGGGCGAATTCGCTCAAAGAGAGCGGCGCGCCAAGTTTGTTGCGCAAGGTGTTGTGCGACGCGTGCCACGCTCCCCGTCTAATCCGAATTTCTAATTGCCCGACAGAATCGGACCGAAATGTTTCGCGTAATTGCATTAAATTGTCGACGACGTCGGCGATAAAACCTCGATGCGTCGGATCGGCCTTTCATTGGATCTTGAGGGATAGATTACGGAGAGGAATTGAAGGTGGTAGAGGGACATATTGACGTGGGTGTGTGGGTCAAGTCGAGTCGGGTCGTCGCATACATCTGGAAGCTTCGATATCGATCCGGGCAGTGATGATAATACTAATGACGAGCGTATATATCGCTGCGCGGCATGCGGGAATCATTTACCAAGCGTGATGGTCGTTCGGTTGACCACTTAACGACTTCATCTCACATCATGACGTGATGACACATCTTAATACTCCAAGGTTTTTATGTGGCGTGTGTTGACGAGTTCAGATATACGTAAAAATAACATAATGGAGCAATTGATGGAGATGCCCAAGATGAACTTTTTTATTGTTCAGCCGTCCGATGAGAAATGAATATTGTAAAAAACGGTATGCAACATTAGTGGGTCATGGTACATTTGGAAAAACAAAATTATAATTATTGCTTGAGGAGATAAGGAAAAAAATATTTCATTCATACTGCTTGGCACATATTTTTAGCTTTTAATTAATGCATTAATAACAAAAATTTAGTTGATTTATTTATAAAAATGATGGAAGTGTAATTTAGCGATGAAAGTATTAAAATAAGATCACCACCACCAGGTGTTGCGTTTCGAACGCAACTGGCTGTATTATTTCGATAAGAAACCGATTCAAGAACTAAACAACTTCTTTTTCTCAATGGAGTGCTCTAGTCTATACTTACTCTCACTATAAAGTTGCCTTGAAATTTAATGCAGGATTTAAGATGATAGGAGACTTTTAACAGGAATTAATTTGTCGTTTATTTTCCATGCTTTTGATGTTATATTGCAATATGATTTCAATCAAGACCCGTCAATCGCATCGTAGTATAATCAGCTATCTACTAAATGACATTCACTTGATTTTATCAGTTTTACTTGATTATATGGCAATTTATTTACAGGTCAAAGTTGAACCAAGTTTTTGCAAATGATGGAATTTAGTCTATTGTTTTTTTTTTCTTGTCCCTATGTGTGTGTTTGATGACACACCATATCTTACATTGCTGAAACCAGCAAACAATCCAATTAGGAAACGCGCGCCCGAAATTTTCCGTTGTATTTTTGAACCCACCTAATTCGGCGTTCCAATTTTACACATTGTCGACTTTATGCCCGTTTTATCTGCCTGCACACACGTGTGTCGCGTTTTTGTGCCGGCGCGTATCAAATAAAACCGATTTCTTCTGTAAGACATAAACCAGGAAAGCGGAAATTGTTAAAGAGGCGGACGTCGTGAAAGAGCATTGTGCCAGCAATGTGAAGTTCTTTCATTCGGCAACGCCAAAGGAAGCGCGAATAGAAGACGGCGCTTTTGTGGCGAAATTAAAATCGCTTCACTGTTTTACTATTTCGGAATTCCGTCCGACTGCTGATGGCAGAAGAAACATTATTTTACTCTTATTCGAGAAGTTTGAATGGTTTCGGAGTTGATTCAAAAATGCAGCGCATATCCGACTCAAATTGTCATCAAGAATGATAATTTGTAAGAGCAAACATTGAGTAAATCACACTTTTATGAGCTGTTGCCACATTTCAAGCTCTTGGAACAAAACTGACAAAGTATTGTAAACAACAACTAATATCCACGAATAATGTCTTAAGAGCAGCAATAATGTTACCGAATAGCCTGCGTGTCTGGTCGTAACGACGCACCAACCCAACGGTGCAAACAACAGTAAACTTTTCTAATGCGAATGAATCATTTTCCCGGACCATTTTGCAGCCTCTCCATTTCCAGCTTTCGCTTTCCGCGTCCCGTTTTACAATTCGACTCCGCTATAATTCAGCTTTTACGTCTTATTTTATTTTTATTCCACATTGCTGACGCTTTATTGAAAATATCATGTCTTCTTTATTACGACTGCTCGCAAAAACGCCAGCTCAAAGAAAAGCTCATGCTAACATGCTATAAAATCGAAATAAATAACGACTGCCCGTGTAAATAAATAAATAAATAAATACGAAACCAAGCAGTGCATAAAACCAACAAATCGTCAAACCGAATTGTTTGTTTGGCGAGACGCAGCACAAAACGAGATGGTTCGTGACGAGAGAGGATGAGGGAAAATAACGCGCCGGATTTGTTGATGTTGAAGATGCGAGTGCAGCTGCAGGACTACTGCAGGACTTGTAGTTGCAGCCGGATGACAGGCAAATTAATTCCGAACTTTTCGTTTTCATCCCGTGTGTTTATTCGGTTGCAGCAACGGCGCACGTGGAGATATGCGCGTCGGCGTTGTTCGTTTATGTTTATATTTTATATTTGCGACGCCGTCTGTGCGGGCGGGCACGTGCAGTTGGCGTGGGGGCGCAATAACAAAGCGCGATTAGGAAGCGCTTTTCTTTTTCTTATCTGCGCGTTGGTCGTTATGTCTCGCGCGTCAAACGGCTGAACATTTCCGGGAAACGTCGCGATATTTCTCCGTCGTGTTGCGTGCTGTGTTTTCTCCTGTTTTGCGTGGGCGCTCTGGGCTGTCAGAGATTGAGTATTTTGCGCACGTAGGGATGTTGGTATATGCACAAAGTACTGAATTGTAAAGTGAGAAAACGTTTGATGCAAACAGCCAACACGATTATGCTTATGCATTTGGGTGAAAATAGGTTGTTGTGATTGCATTTTGTATATGTAAGACTTTTTTTTGAATTCCGTATTAAATGCCATATTAAATTGTAAGTTAAATACAGCGATCGGTTCGATAACAAAAATGTAGTGGACGATTTAATCAAGCGACTTCCCATCGTGACCTTAATATTGTCGAATTTAACTTGGAAACCCTTCGGTTGAATCCCCCAGCATGTCCGTTATGCCCTGTCTTTGATGTATTAATTAAAGTTCAGGGCACGAACGCCGTGTTGTCTTTGCTTTGTAGCTGAACAGTAATATTTTCCACATGAAAATTAATACCAATCCTTAACACTCACCCCCAAGTGCTCCAAATATACACACACCGCGAGATGCGGAACTAGAGAACTGATTTCGTTACCGAGTTGCCCGCAGGGTGACGCGAGGTGACGAAGGTGTACACCTTGTCGGCGAAGAGTCGCAAAAATAGCGACTAAAGTAATTTTCAATTTGCATACGAAATGCGCGCGCAGCACAAACGCACGACGAAAGCATGTCGCAGAGTGGAATTATGCCATCTCCCAGCGCGCCTCTTCCTCATCCGGTGCCAACCAGGAACGGCGTTTATTGAATACGGCAATTTCTTCTCATTTGCAGATAGGGCAGCGACGCCGGTTCTGCGGCCGCCCGACGACGAGGACTCCTTTCCAGTGCTCTGCGACAGGGAGCTGCATTCGCTGCATCGGAATGTGCCGGCGCTGCGGCGCCGCGACGTTGATACGGCGACCATAAAACAACATTACTATCCCGAAGGTAAGATAAACGCGCGGCAATGATTCTCGCATCGCGCGCGCCTCGTCATTTATTCCGCCCGTTTCACGCCGCGACGAGCCGACTGCTTTGCATAATATATTTGCGGCGCCACCGAGCTGGATGATGTTCAGTATTGCGATGTCGCACTGTCGTATCTACTGTCAAGGGTACCCAGATAACAGCCGCCTTCCGCTGGTGAAATGTACAAACAAAAAACACCTCTGGAATTCGCGTCAAATGAGAATTCAATAAAATATTTACGCACACCTCAAATTGACTGTTTATCTCCGAAGAAAGGCAGATGCATGATTGGGATGTCGGCACCACCTTCGGCGCGTCAATTTCGTAATGGAATCTATGTCGGGTCGAATTTACGCACGAAATCGTTTTGTTCGACAACGACATTTCCCCTTTAACGCGGTGCGAAACCCGCCCATTCTCATTTCGGCCGCGCTTGAGATTGCAAACCCCCATCTTTTGTGCGCTCTTACTCACCTTCGTAGTCGCGTTGAGCAATTTTTTTCGGTTAGAACGCCATTTTAGCACGGCACGTACAGCCGCAGCGACGTTCGAATCTCAGATTTGAATATATTTACTTCGACGACGAGGTCGGGCGTCCAGGCTTAAAAGTGTACCTATCTGCACGCGCGGCACCGGCGCCAAAACCGGTGCGAATTGATTTTTATCCCTTCTGACGCGTTCACCTGACTATAATACATTTCCTGGCGCACCTTTACGTCCACATTCTGCGGGGCCTTATAAGTTATCTAATTCCTCGGGGACGCCTTCGCGTTCCGTTTTGTCTCGCGCGAGTTGGAAAAAAATCGCACCACCGCATCGTTTCCGGCGTCATTCGCGCATCCGATTCGTGTGCCTTTGTCGTCGGTTTTCCACTCGCGCGAGCCTGAAAATCGCGTCAAGTTTTGGGCAACTTGCCGCGCGTACGCTAACAACAACATCATTGGCGCGAGAGAACGCCGCGCTGGCCCCCGAGAAATGCGTCGCATTTGTATATTTGATGCCTGCTATAATAGCTCTGAGTCGGTGCATGAATAAATGTATAAGAACGCGCGGGCTGCCGGGAAGTTTCTCTTTTGTCCGTAATTTCCATATTGTTGCGTGCGGAATATTACGCCAGCAAGAATCGCCGCGTGAGCAGCCATGCCAGACCAAGAAAAAAAAGAGCAAATTTGGCATTGCAGTCACAGAAAATCGGCTCTTTAAGGCGAATGAATGTATCTTTATCTTCAACTTTGCACGGTCTGTTTTTTTTTTCTTTTGCCCCATCACACCCGCTCGTTCCTATTGGATTGCGGCATTGTTCCGAACATATGTAGCGATTTTGTAAACTTTTTCGTTTTTCTTATTCATTTAATCCCCTGTACCCTAACACTTTCTTTGCGGTGAGGCCGGTTGTTGGCGGAGAAATGAACAAGACGAGCTAAGTTTGCACGATCAACGTGCACTCGTGCCGGTCCTATTGACGTTTATTTAATTTCCTCCGCTTCACTCAAGCGAAGCGCGCCTGCCCTGGAAGGAAATAAATAAAACTGGGGCAAACTTCTCGTGCGTTTTCCATGTTCTTGAAGCGCGCGGCTTTCGTTGCGTTTTGTTTTTGCACCGGCCGGCATCGGCTTCAAGTAGTACATTCCGACATGTATTTTCGTAATACATTTTTTTTTATGTCTTATTGTGTTTCCGTCCGGCAGGCGGTTGGGGATGGCTGGTTTGTGGAGCGGCGTTCCTTGCGCACTTGCTGACTTCTGGCATGCAGCTAGCGTTTGGACTGCTCTACTTATACATCATCAAGGACTTGGAGAAGAAGTATGCGGAAGACAAGGAATTCTATACTATGGCTGCAGGTATGCTCTCTTTGACATTTAAATAATATTTGCTGAAAATTGTTGCCAGAAGATTTGTGATGGCGGTAAATCACTCGCTGTAGTATGCGCGCACACGTTGGAAACACAGGTTCTAATTAACACGTTCCGAGTCACCATTCTGCAATCACTACCACCCCTCGTCGACACGAATTCCGTGCGAGCAACAAGAACTCGAAACTCCTAATCTCCCCCAGCGAATTCATTGACGTTGCTGGAATTGCCAACAACCGAATTAATGGCCGCTACAAGTGGCAACACGATAATTCAAAATTCAAATTACGAGCGCCTTTTGTGCGCGCGGGGCGAAACGACAACGTTTTTGCTTCGTCGCTGATTCACGCCGCGTCGCCGCGCTTAGCGTCCACAATCCGGGCGCAACGCCTCCACTGTCGCCGCCGTAAGCACATTTCCTTATGTTAAACGGAAATTTACGATAAGGTTAAAGTTATTGCCGCCACCAACACGCAGTCCTTCCGCGCATTGGGACAAACACATCTCTTTTCGGTCGGAGTGAGCATTCTGGATTCGGAACACGTCGATCGGCTGGAAATGCGGCACGCACAAGGCCCACCCGCCGCCGCCGCCGCCGCCACCACTACCGCCAACGAACAATTGTTATTTGCAAATCGCCGCCTTGTTAAACTCGCTTCCATTTGCCGAGAGCGATTTGTGTTAATGCGCTATATTGCCTGGTCGAGCACGATCACAATTGCAAACGCACGAAATTAATAATTATGCAGCAACAAGCATGCCGGCAGGACGTAGCGAAACCGGATGCTTTGTAGAATTTTAAATTCTTCAATTCCGAAGGATCCTTCAGGCGAGCTAGCAACTGGGATCCTTCAAGAAAGCCCTGCTGAATTGGAAAAACAAGACGAGAAATTATTTATTTGCATACATTCATAATTAATTTTAATTAACGGAGCTGCCAAGTGCTCGTGACTTACGAGGCATTCAATTTTATTCAATTTTTCATATTGTACAGGCAAAAGCGCCATAGAATCAAGAAAATAAATAAATGATAGTTTAGTGTTGGGCCAGAATTAGACTTCCTTGTTAGTTTGATCATCTGAGGTTTTGGGTTTCGTGTCGTCGCCCCGTGCCGATCGACGACTAACTGGACGCGACCCTGCTCTATATGGCGGGTTACTTGCACTTTTCGTTTTGGTTAATGGTTTTGTCCCTGGCCCACGACTAGGTTTTGCATTGTTATTTAACGCTGGTAAAGTCACCAATATATTTAAGGCTTGTTTGTCATTGTGTATCTTCGACGCGATGTTTCTATGATGGTCGAGTTTTAGGTTGTGCACTTCCTTCATGGCTTTCTCGTACTCTTTCTTAAAGTAATTTTTGTCTTGTTGGGCAATTTCGCATTTTTGTTCCATTGCCCGTAGATCTGTCAACAAGATCTTGGTCTGTTCGGCAGTCAGCTGCGTCTCCTTCAACTCTTGCATTTGGAGTGATTGTTCACTCAACATTTCGCGCAAAATGGTGTGCTTCAACTCTAATTCGCTTATTATTTCAATAAGTTCTTGTTTATCGGAAAGTTGAAACTTGATGGTATTCTTATGAATCTCCATTATGATGCTGTACTCCTGGGTTTTCATTAGATTGGTCACCTCGAGATCAATGGTATCAAGTTGCTTACGTTTTTCTTGGCGCTTTACGAGAGTACGGCATTTCTCAAGATTCTTTAGGAGGTCTTCCTGGAGCGGCAACGTCTTTGTACGAAACTCAGCGCTGAGGCGCTTCATTTCCAATTCTTTTTGTGCATCGAGAGTTGCTTCGATTTCTTCGCACTTCTTTATTTGCCAATCATTTAATTCATCGAGTGTGTGCATGATAATAGTTTCGTCCAAAATGGTGGGCGATAGGTGGAATAGCGCAGGAGGTTCTGCAAGTACATCGCTCATTACGTTCGCCATGACTGTGATATACAGGGTGCCGATTTCTTGTCCCGATGGCGCTAGGAGCATCACATCGTAGGGCGGGCCAGACTTATTTATATGAAATCTTGTGAAATCGATCGTGCCCATGCTTCCGATCAGTGCCTGCTCTTCGGCGTCATAGAGTTCAAGCTTTGGAGTGTAATTCACAATCATGTAGTTTATACGTGAATTTAAAGCCACCATGCTGACGTTACATTCAACTCCTTTAATTCGAATTTCCTTATGTGGATATGTGTCGATTTCGATCTCTTTTCCGAGAGCACTGTTGATTGTTGGATGCATTAATTTAAAAATGAATCTTCTTGAGCTCAAGACGGCTTTCCACATAATTGATTCCACCTTCATCTCTAAGAGCAACTGCTGGTAGTGCTCGATGTGGTCACGTAGATCATCAGAATTGATGGTGCTATTACTATCGCTGCTTAAGTAAAAGCTTTGTGGTCTATGAGTGAGAGATAGTTCAACCGGTCCAGAGACGAGACCATCTCCAGCTTGATTCATGGGGCTATTGATTTCATTAGGCCCGCATATTGTCGCCTCATTTGATGTAGTTTCTTGTTGCTTATTTTCAAAGGAATCCACCCCCTCGAGGACGCATTTGACTGAAATGGTTGCTCTGCGCATTTCTTGGGTAGAACAGGATGCTCTATAGTACCCATCGAAAAAACATACCTGCTCCATTTCGAATCTTCGTTTGCATTCATTAAAGATGACTTCGGGTAAATCTAGGTTCAGTTGTTTCATATCTATGTCGGCCACAGCCAGCATATCGTTCTCAATGTTGAATTTTACTTTGATCACAGGATACTGCTGGAAGTAAGTGCCCAATAGGTCGTAGTGCGACAACATCAGATTGATGACTATAGATTCGTTGAAAATTACCATTGGAGCATATACATTCTCAGATATTTTACGTGTTTTTACTTCCAGCCCAAATATTTCAACTGATAGGTGAAAAGTCTTAGAAGTGTTTCCGAAGATGATGCTTTCGGGCATTATAACGTCCAAGTCGTACCCGATTAACAAGGTTAATTTAAGTTGGAATTTAAGTTTACAATCTTCCGGGTTGCCAAGCTGAATGTAACCTTCTTCGGAATATTTTACGGGCACTCGAATCTGTTGAAATTGAAGTGATGGAAGTTCGGGCAGATCAGGGCTGGGATAGATTTTCTGCAGTGGTGAGTTTGGTGGCATGTTCGGGACGAAATCTCGGATTAGCAAAAATACGGCCAATTCGGGAGTGCTTTTTCTAATTTCATTGGGGACGCTAACTAGCTTTGTCCATATGGGATTTATCTCTGTGAGGTTAACTTTAGACATTGGTACAATCTTGGCACTGCGTAAACAGACCAAGGTGAAGCCCAGTAATTTTCCTTCACTGGTGAAGCATTCTAAGCGTATGTTGGAATAGGAACCGCGCACTTTTCGCAGAAGTTTCTTTTCTGTCTCCCAAACCATCTCGGTATTGAATACCACATTTGCTCCCTCCACGATATCCGAGTCCATTTTGCGTCCATGAAAACTCGCGGTAACGTAGAACGGACATTTTACCAGATCAAAACCTCGTCCTTCTTCAACACTGAGCACAATATTTACAAACCTGCCTTTTAATTCGTTCATAATATAGCAATTATAAAAAAGCAATATAGCTTGAATTAAAATGTATAAAGTTTGACATAAAAGTTTTTTTTTTGTATAAAATATTTGTATTGTTTTCACAGCCGGCTACTATCCAGTTTGATTTTTTTCAGCATGGATGGGAGCGTTGTGTTTATGCGTGTCGTTTCTAGCATCGCCAATTGTAGTAGCCATCTGTCGACGAAAGTCAACTCGTTTAACATCAGTTTTTGGTGGTTTGATCCTGGCGTTATCATGTCTATTTGCTTCTTTCGCCACTCAATTTCACCAAGCTGTGCTCAGTTACGGTGTGTTCATGGGTACCGGCGCAGGGATTGTGAGAGAAACTTCAGGAATAATGTTGGGGCATTACTTCAAACGACGACGTGAGTTTGTCGAAATGGTAGCGCAAACTGGCTGTGGAATTGGTGTGGCGTTATTCTCCGTTTTATATAAGGAAGCTGTCGGGTAAATAATTTGGAAACATCAAAATTGTTTTAAATGAAATGTATTTATTCTATTTATATTTTAATTTGAACAGCAAATTAGGATGGCGTTTAGGTCTTCAAGCTGTCACTGGACTTTTAGTTCTTGCCTTCTTTCTACCTATTATCTACCGTTCTGCAAATCTCTATCACCCGCAGAGGCGTGCCATTACTCACTTGAAGAATCAACGTAAAAAAATGAAAGAAAAGAAAACACACGTCAAGGACAAAAAACCGCCTATGTTTGATTTTTCGCCGCTGAAAAGTCGTGGGCTACGCGTGTTGCTGCTGGCTAGCGGTACCGGTGCCTTAGGCGTGTACGCGCCCATCTTCTACTTGGTAAACCCGTCAAATTGTATGAGTGTTGAGCTGGTTTCCTTTCAATTCCGATATGTTACAGGCATTCCAAGGGTTCAAAGAAGGATTGGAAGATAGTGCATTGGTGATACTGCAAACTTTTTTTGGTTTTGCTTCAGCTCTGGGTTGTGTCGGCTTCGGAATTCTTATAATGCGCCCTACGCGACAATGCACAATATCCAGGCAGTACTTAACTCAGACCGCCATGCTTGGAACCGGTATGTCCGAAGAATAATATCACCCTCAGTGGTTTCAAAGTTTTTGATTTTAGGCTTTAGTCTTCTAGCAATGAGCGCCGTGCAAGGGTATCATGGGTACGTGCTCTTTGTATGGATGTACGGCGTGTTCCTAGGTGGGTATACCTACGCGCTGAAAATGTTCACTCTGGAAAGGATCAAGGCGCGCCATTACACCAAAGCTTGGAGCTTTGTGCAGGGCGCCTGTTCACTGCCCGTGCTCATCGGTATACCGATCACTGGTTATGTGAATCAGTGCTATCCAAAGGCTGGCTACTACTATTGCTTCCTAATGACGGTGGTGGGCGCATCGTTGCTGTTCCTAGTGGGCACCAAAAAGGATCCGACCCAGAACGCGCTCGGCCCCAACCAACACCCGCTCCCGAACAACACAAACAATTACACGGTAAATCACATAAGCGAGTGCAACTGCCACCTGCACACACCCTACACGAACGTCTACATGCCGTACTATTACAGGAGTCCGGGGAGGAATTACGAACCCATCCACTCTAGTTACAATGATTACGATAGGGGCAGCCTACACCGGCACTCTTTTCGCCATCGGAGCGTCGATCGTTTGCCGAATTACGTGTACTTGCCGAAAAGTATGAGTTACGCGGCGAATATCGAATGCCCGCTGACCTCCTACGCGAATTGCCATCCGCAGGACTACGCGCATTACTACAACCGCTATTACCACTCGCATCCGCACCACCGAACGAGGTACAACTTGCGGCCAAGCAAAAGCGTGCCGGAGGGGCTCGCGCGTAGTGAATATTACGGTTCGTATCGCAGACCCGTTGTGCGAAACGTGCATCTAATCGAGCAGATCACCACCTCGGTGTAAAGGTAACCCGTCACCAGCCCACAACTGATTCGGGGCGCGATCGGGCAATTCATACTCTCGCAATAATTCTAGTCAGTACATTTGTCGGTGGGAAGGCCTTAATAGTTCATTCTCATTACCCTGCGATCTAACAACCCTAGGCCGGAGTACACTTTTTGGGGATCAAATACTAAACCTTGTCAATTTTGACTGTAATCGTAGACGCGCTAGGCGAACGCTGAGGAGGCCGCAAACGATGGAATTGTCAACGAATTAATTACAATATTCACAAACGTAAACAATGTTTGTCATAGTTACTTATGAATGTAATTAAGGAGATGAACACGTTAGAGTTTTTATTCAATGTTGATGATGATTAATAATATCTTTGACTTTCTCTCTATCTCTATGTGTAATTCTTGGGACTAATGAATATATTGCATTTAGTTACATTCTGGGACTTTTCATGTCAATTGCGAGTAGTTTTCAGAACCTTCATAAAAGATTTACATTCAGGATCACAGGGTCATCATCAATAGATCAACGGGAAAATGGCAGTTTAAGTTGGTAATTCTTATTTTGAATTATCGTTTATTAACCGAATGCTGAGCTTATTACCTCTGATAATACAAAGTTTACATTATTTAATGATAATTACAAGAAGAAATACATCATGCGGCATGTTTTTAATTCATTGAGAACCACACTGAATAAGTTTAATAAAATATTTGTTTCAAAAAACTGTATTATTATTATAAATTCTTTTTCTCTTCTTACAGATTTAAATACCTATATATTGTAATACTAATTTAATTTTTTCTGAAGTTATGTAAAACTATCGGCATTAACATCGAAATACTTATTCATTGTATTTTGAATTTCCTGTGACTCATGAGGTTTAGAAGACGTTAGCATGCGCACATGCGTTGTTTACTTAGTTCAGTTCTTATCTGTAGCTATCGCGTGACGTCGCTGCAACCTCGGCATGCGAGTTAAAGCTAGTTCCGTGCTGATCATCGGTTGGTCTGGACGTATTTCGCGCAGCTCGTGTCGTTCTTTATATTTTAATTAGACAAAGCGTGTTATCCCCGGTAATTACCTATTTAGCTACAAGTACCGTGAATAGCGTTGTCTGCTCATTAGCACTAGTTTTACAATCAGATTTGATACACGTATTATGATTGTGTGTGTGCGTTTGTGTCGTCGTTGCTTGCGTTTATGTGTTGTACAGTTTCACCTCTGGGATTGGATTCAATTTTGTATTCGATGGAGCCATGTTGAATCTCTTCATTATGAGAACCTTTTATACCGGGGTAAGTAACATAAATCTGAACATTGTTAGAGACGACTCGGGTCATGTTGTGAGTTTTATTTTCTCCGACTTCTAGAATATTCTAGTTAATGCTCGATTCAAACGCGTGCTTGTATATAAATATTTTTTTAACGCGTTTTTACCTGCGTGTAGTTCTCTAACTACAAGTAGTCTAATCACATTTCACTCTCCAAATTTGCAGCTTTTTAACATTTCGTAAACTTGGTGTTGAGATTCCGCATTCTCCGCATTCATATTTTGATAAAAACTGTGCTAAGGGCCGGGCGACTGTGGGTTCCAGGAATCATGCGAATCATAAAAGTGGTGCCTTTATTTGTGCGTAAGTGCTCCATTGGCCAATGAATTATTTTGATATTGAGCAGGGGCGTAGCTACCGCCGTATTTGTCGTATCAATTATACGGGGCCACGGGGGCCCCCAAAGTGTGTAAAGAAAAACCTTTACCTCCATATAAGGGCCTCCAAAAAAATTTTATACGGGGCCCCGACAAGGCACGCTACGCCGCTGATATTGAGCATTGAAGTTAGATATACGTATAAAACTGACAAGTTCGAATATGTGTTATCTACGTTTGCTCTTAGCAGAAGTGTATATTTTCGCTATGATCGGAATTATGTCCGACTTAACAAGTGCGCAGCATAGTGGCAATTCTAACACGCGTCGTTTTTCTGTTTCAGTACTTTACAAAAATACTGGTTTGTTTCGGGTATGACTTTCGTTGTTTTCGATTTCATTGCAATATCAACCTTGTTGCATATTTGATAAATGTGTTTTGAATATTTGTAAGTTGATAAATATTTTCAAAGGTTAGATGGCGCTACGATGTACGGTTTTGCATTAAATATTGCTTGTTGGTGGTAGTGAGTGCACACCGTGTCCGTGTGGATCACGCGATTTCGCGCAAGACTTAAGTTTGTTTACCTGCAGGTATCGAATCTTTATTTCGTGGAATCAAAACACACCGTTGCTGTTTATTATATTAGCATCGTAAATTATATTCTTCAATTCTTTCATGAATATAACTAACAATTTTATATTAAATCGAATACATTTTTATTATCAACGAAATACGATGCATGTTCAAATTAAATATCACTTAAATATTTGATTTAAAATCTGGCAATCTGTTAGCATAAGAAATCAGAATTACGCAATTCGAATTTATTTATCAGCAAGCGTGAACCTTCGACACGAGAATTCTGTTTGTTTGAACGCAATATACACATTCTTATTGCATTGCCGTGTGTCGTCGTTGCCAGCACCTCACGCCGCATGTTGCTGCATCTTAGTTTAATTTTGATCTCAGGTAAACTGTTAAATGCAATTCGGACACTAACTGCCTCGTCTAGAGATACAGAATTAAATTCTCCGTCGGGTAGTATTGGTTAGCGGTAGAAGTGACTCGATTCAGGGCACCTTACGAGGCTAGCGGTAAAAGTGACTCGTGTTCAGGGCACCGTAGGAACCCGAGAAAATTCGCATTAAAGGGTGAATTTTTCACTCTTTCTCGTGAAATGATTGTATTTTTTCGGGTTTACGCGCGATCTAGGCGGCTCACTAACTTCAGCGCGGTGTTTAGAGATGCGGAATTAAATTCTCCGTCGGGTGGTATTTGTGTGTTGCAGGAATTCGACCTGCAACCTACGATAATAATTCGCATAAAAGTGTGAATTTTTCACCCTTTATCGTGAAATGTTTGTATTTTTTCGGGTTTGTGCGCGATCTAGGTGGCCCACTAACTTCAGCGCGGTGTTTAGGGATGCGAAATTAAATTCTCCATCGGCTTTATTTGTGTGTTGTAGGAATTCGATCTGCAACTCGCGAAAATTTGCATAAAAGGGTGAATTTTTAACCCCGTTCTCGTGATTTTTTTTTTTTTGGGTTTGCGTACGATCTAGGCGGCTCACTAATTTCAAAGCGATGTTTAGAGATGCGAAATTAAATTCTCCGTCGGGTGGTATTTGTTTGTGGCAGGAATTCGACCTGCAACCTGCGATAATTCGCATAAAAGTGTGAATTTTTCACCCGTTATCGTGAAATGTTTGTATTTTTTCGGGTTTGTGCGCGATCTAGGTGGCCCACTAACTTCAGCCCGATGTTTGCAGATGCGGAATTAAATTCTCCATCGGCTTGCATTTATTTGATGCAGGAATTCGACCTGCAACCCGCAAAAATGCGCATTAGAGGGTGAATTTTTCACCCCGTTCTCGTGAAATGTTTGAATTTTTTCGGGTTTGCGTGCGATCTAGGCTGCTCACGAATTTCAACGCGGTGTATAAAGATGCGAAATTAAATTCTCCGTCGGGTGGTATTTGTTTGTTGCAGGAATTCGTTCTGCAACATACAAAAATTTGCATAAAATGGTGAATTTTTTATCCTTTCTCATGAAATGTTTGTATTTTTTCGGGTTTACGCGCGATCTAGGCGGCTCACTAACTTCAGCGTGGTGTTTAGAGATGCGGAATTAAATTCTCCATCGGGTGGTATTTGTTTGTTGCAGGAATTCGACCTGCAATTCGGGAAAATTCGCATAAAAGAGTGAATTTCTCACCCTTTCTCGTGAAATGTTTGTATTTTTTCGGGTTTTCGCGCGAACTAGGAGGCTTACTAACTTTAGCGCGGTGTTTAGAACTACGGAATTCTTGCAGGAATTCGACCTGCAACCAGAAAATGCGAAAATTTGCATAAAATTTTTTGATTGAGAATTTTTCAATCTTCCATAATCTTCCATTTTCTAGTTGCTATCTCTTTTAGTTTAGAAGATATTCACTATCGAAAATCGTGAAAATAAATTATCAAGTACCCATCCTTGCCTATTTTTTTTTATGAATTAAAATTTCTTTTCTTAAATTTCCAATTTAAATAACTTATTCTTTTCGCATGCCGAGGAATATTGAAAGTAAAAGTAATTTTCGTGTATGTGTATTTTAACATTGTGAATTTTTAGTTTCGTATTCTCAACTACGTGTTTATCAGTTCGTTTGGGTATAAACAACTTTTTATATGTTTGGCTGACATACCTGCCTTGTACCCGGCTAAGCGCATCGCACACGGCAGTAGTTTCACCGCGTGGTCCGCGAGCGTGTCTCTCTAATCGCCACGCGTTTTGAGGTTTTAATCGGATTAATCGTCCTGTATTCTTTCGGCCATCGGCAAAATGTGTGCAATGGGCATGTGTGCTTGATTTGTTTAATGATTTATGGCGGTTAGAGTCTTCTTAAGTGAGAAATAAGTGTCCGTTAATCCCTGTGCGAGTTTTCAGTTGATAAAATATATTACAGGATAGAAAATCTCCTCATAAATGCACAGGTGGGTGGATAATTAAAATTTTTCTCGGAAAGTTAAGGCGGTTTAACTTAAATTGATTATTCAATTTGAGGGATATTAATTTTGTAGATTACAAACACGTGGTAGCATTTTTATCAGAATTCTGTTTAGTCGCGTTTCCGAAAATAACATGCTTCATTTAATTATTACAAGCACGCGTTTTAAAATTATCTGAGCATTATTAAAATGATAATATGCATGTGGTCGACCACGCTTACTTTGCCGTCGGTCGTCGCTTCGGTCATGTTTTCGAGGATCACGTAAACATTTTTAATCATTAAATTAATAAATTCTTGTTGAACGGTGAATAGTTTTTCGTTTTCACAGTCTCAGTACCTATATCTTAATATTTACAAAGAAATAGTTATTTTTATCGTCTTTAACCATTGTGTTGCTACGCGCCGTCGCTTGCCGTCTATTGATTTAGATGTTTTCCGCTGGATATTCTATCAATTTATGATGGTGTTTCACCCGTCGGTTACCTTATACAGTTGATGCTACCATCAATTAATAAATATTAATAAATATTTATTAAATATATATATTCACCATATCTTAAAATGTATGTGTTTTATTTTTGTAGCACCTCTTTGCTCAATTTTCCGATGTTTTTCGGGCAAAATCTTTGTTTTTATATTAAAATATTGTTGTTAATTTGTAAATTTCCCTCTTCATATTGTGAATATTGACTCCCTTTGTAGTTTCTAAAATTTTCTTTTAGTAACACCCTGTAAATTAGTTTTCCTATCAGCACGTAGAAAATTACCTTTAGTCAGTTTTGTGTGTTCTCAGTTTTGAACATGGAATTTTCTTTCTAGAACACCCTGTATATATGTTTTTCTTTGTGTCCGTGAAAATTTTGCTTTAGCTGTCGTTTTTAGTATTTTCCCGTTTGCACTTTGAATTTTTTCTGGAACACCCTGTATATTAGTTTCCCTGATCGTCGAGTGAAAACGAGCGGCGTTTGTAGTGTCGAGAGTTTTTTGTTTGCACTTTAAAGTTTCCTTTTGTAACACCCTGTATATTAGTTTCCATTTTCAATCACCTAGAAAATTGGCTATTTACTAATTTTATTATTCCGGTATAACTTTATGAAATACTTGATGGCATATGCGCGGCTGTGCCGGTCGTAAGTCCTGTTTCAATATGGCGACATATTCTGTTCACTTGTAAAATATAAATCTATGTTAATATGTTTTAAAATAAAATATGTTAATAAATAAATAGTAAGATATATTGACTTCTTTGATTTGTGTACCCCTTCTATCATTTCAGGAACAGGTCTCTAAGAGCGTTCCCTCTCTCAGGGGATGATCCCCACTATAAAAATTGTTAAGGTATCCTGTATGATTTGTGTACTCCATCTTTCATTTCAGCTACAGGTTAGAACATGTAAGAATATTTTTAAGTGTCCCCTCTCTTGAGGCGACTTAAAAATTAGAAATATTTTTACAAGTCCTTAAAAGGATGTCCTTATAAGGAGTTCCCTCTCTCTGGGGGTGATCCCCCACCATAAAAATTGTTGATATGCCTGATAATTTCGGGGATGAAGCGCAGAGACATCGTAGCTGTAGGATGGGCCGGGAGCAATGGACACATCGAAGCAGTAGACGATCTAACGACACGCGCCAGAAAATGTGAAAATTCCGTCACCCCTATTCTCTTTTCTTCCTGTATTCCGTCACCCTTACTTCTCTTCTCTTCCTGTACTCTCTCTTCTCTTCTTACTTCTCCCATTCTCTCTTCTGCTGCTCTCTCGACTTGCTCTACCACCATCTTCTACTTATTCCTATTGTTGCTCCGTACTCTGCTCTTCAACTTATTTCTAACATTCGAATCTATATTTTTGTGGTATGCAACCCACATTTCTTAAATTTCTTATTATTTAATAAAACTGCTTTCTACAACTGAGATTCGAACCATGAACCACGAATCTCTAGCATGCTAGCATACGCACATGCCAGCTGAGCCACCGAGCTCTCATATCAAAGCATATTCGTTTCAGGTATAAATGTTGTTGTTTTTGTTACCTTTTTAAAAACAACAACATTTATGTACTCTGTTATTCGCATTTCAAACACGTACTATCAAATGTGGTTTCTAAATCTAATTCTGAAAACGACAAAAAGGAAACATAGACAAATATACTAGCAAATGTAATATTAAAAGTATAGTTTATTGCAACTCATACAATCACAAGAGTACATGTTGAATTTTAAAATTATTTGTTAAATTTGAATTATTTTCAGAGTATTTATTTATTCAACGGTTACCTCGTTACCTCACTAATTGTTTAATTCATCGAATGTTAATGTTGCAGTTACCTACGTGCACTTTCTACATTAAAGTATTCCACACGGGGACAAACAGTGTTTATTTTCACAAATAAATATCATTACGCAAATAAAACCACTGGGACGGACTTTTTAGCCGACGTAAGATATCCGACGGCCGACGGCAAAAACGTGCGCACATTGTAAAACATTATAAAATCCCAAGAAACGCGCAAACTAGTTACGAAGATCGACTTGTGAACAAAACACGTGTGTACCGATCAACATCGCACGATCGTCTAAACAAGGAAAAGATATAGCTCACAATTGAATGCGGGCACGATTGTACACCGACGTCACGATCAACTCCTTGATATCTAAAATCAAACACAAATCAGATGCGCTGTGATTTCTGACTTTAATTCATTCTTAATTCGCTAAATTAACTAAAATTTTATGGCACCAAAATATAAAGATTACAAAAATAAGATATAATATGGTAATAATATATTATTTACTATGTAAATTTTCTCATTACAATAGTCTTTAACAAATGTTGTATCTAGAAACGTAATATCCGACTGATGAAACTCACAAGAAGACAGTAAATGTGCGCATTTATGAAAATTACAAACACAATTAATCATAACTCAATTGTGCTTATCTGCAGTCGATTGTTAATTGAATATTGCACTTTAAAAACCCGCGATGTAATACTACGGACCTGCGCTAAGACTGCACAACTAACACTGCCGGAGCCAAGGACTGATGACAAGGTTCAGCGCGTAAGCAAAGTAAAGTGTGCAGCGCATGCGTACATGATGGTTTCTACCGGTAGGTGCGTTTAAGTGCATACGCAACAAACGCGCCCTTTCATGCGAATTCTCACGGGTTGCAGGTCGAATTCCTGCTACAAACAAATATCACCCGATGGAGAATTTAATTCCGCATCTCTAAACACCGCGCTGAAGTTAGTGAACTGCCTAGATCGCGCGTAAACCCGAAAAATACAAACATTTCACGAGAAGCGCAACGAGTTCTACGGCACACACACGCAACTTTCAATATAACTCGCGTTTCGGAATTTTTTGCAATAAGTTTCAATACAGGGAGATACTGAATCTTAAGAAAATATTGCCAAGGACGTCAAGTCTCAAGCACCCCCGACACTTTTTATCGACGATTTTCAATAATTAATATCTCTTAAACTAAAAGCGATAGCAACCAATGAATCACTGATTATGACAGACTGGAAAATTCTCTATTTGATAAAAATATAAAATAATTATATTTCCTAAAGTAAAAAGTCGAAAAACGCGACTAAAAGTGCTAAAAGTGACATTTTTCAATTTTTGGCCATTTTATTCAATCGCAAATATCTCGTAAAAACGGAAATCTGAGAGATGAAATAGTAATTTTAAGAAAAAATTGCCAAGGGATTGCTTGATAATTTTTATCGACGATTTTCAATGGCGAATATCTTCTGAACTAAAATTGAACCTGGAAGATTGGAAAATTCTCTATCAGATAATATAAAATAATTTAATTTAATAGGGTAGCAGGTCTATAATCGCGAAGGAAAGTGCTAAAATGGACATTTTTCAATTTTTGACAATTTATATTAATTGCGAATATCTCGTAGAGTAAAAGAGATAAAAGGAACGAATCGCAGAGTCTTAATCTATGGACAATTCTCTATAAAAGCTAGCTAAACCCATTTTACAAAGGCTTTCCGCAATATGATCCGGTTTCCATATAACCATTATGTGAAATTTATACGGCCCCCCTAATTCGTGGGCTATTGCAAGACGCAGGTGAAATGTGATAAAATATTTAACCGAATAATATAATTTAATTATAAACTTACCAATGCAGCGCTCCTCGGATTGCAAGAATACGGCAAGTAGGTACTGTAATTAAAAGAAAGCATAAGTTAAAACAAAAACATTTCATACAATATGATAAGATTAAAAGCAAGCAAAAAAATCATTTATGCAAATTAAACGCACAATTACGTATTAGGAAAACACTGCAGATGCATATTACGACTAAGTCGATTGATGACCGAATATAATGCAAATTTTGAAAATACAAGTCTGATAAAACGAAACGCGTTGCGCGATATACGTCTGGATACGGCAGAGACCAGCACGAAACTAGCTGCAAGCCATCAATAGAGCATGCCGAAACTGCGCACGCAAAGATGCGACAATTCACAATAGGACCCTGTGCCTGCTGCATAAACCCGGCAGGTAAAAGCAATAGATGCGCAAAATCAGCGCGTCGATGCCACGCGACCTTGTGCGCGAATTGCTATAGATGCGCAAAGAAGGCGGCGTGTCGATGGCCTGTGATAAGAACTAAACCAAAATGTGCTGCATGCGACATCGCGACAAGAATCTAACGCGTAGCATCTCGCACGGGGAATGCGATAAGAAAGTTGTTTATAGACTAACGCTGATAATAGAACTGTCTTCAAAACTAATGCAATTCTATTTTATGATTTAGTTCATTCTAGTGAACTAAAATTTAAATCATGAAATTATGATTTATGATTTGAGTTTTATTGAAGCAAAGATTTCCGCAAAAGATATCAATTTTCTAATTGCAAGAAATCAGGAAAACAGATACTATAAATGACGAAAAATTTTACTTACCAGTGTATCGAACACACAATCAAATGTGAGTAAATACTGAAATAAAGATGAAATAAAACATTAGTTACACAATTTCGGAGAATGAGTTCCGGCGGGACCCAAATTTAATCATACATTTCGTCTTGTTCTCCATAATTATTTAAATTAGTATTCGTACCAGGTAACACATTGAGCCAACGAGTTGTGCAGAAGTCAAAAATGGTTCGCACATCTCCAAAATATTATTTATAATCACACACAAAGTCTGTCGGCAGGCGTCAACCGATCAGAAATCCACGAAAATGTAATAAACACACAAAATATTGAATTCCGAAGATAACATACGCGATAAATATTTACCGAATGACCAAACACGGCAATTAACACTTAATTCAATAAAATATAACGGAATATACCAAATTTACAATGAGAAACACGAATACTCGACGCAGTATTCTTATCTGCCGCACGAATTAAAAACTGCGTGCCGGCATCACAACTGTGCACGTCGACTTTCACTCGCAGGAATATTTTTAGTTAAAACATGCATCGTTGCGCTACCTGAGAATACTTTATTGTACCTCCAGAAAATACAAAGCGTTTCAAAAAGTGTGGCGTACATATGAGGCAGTGAGCGATTGCCTATGTGTCAGTGAGTGGTCACGCACTTAAGTGGCCGTGTCCGTGTATCACACGTACACGAGAGTGCGCATGCACCACCCTATCTAAACAAATATGTAGCAATGTTTATACATAACTCAAAACTTCAAATATAGAAGTCAACAAGATATACTTATTGAAAATGAATAAATCTTATTATAACATTATTATAATTATTATTATATTATTAATTGATAGTTTTTATCGACAATTTTCGACAACGAATATCTTCTAAACAAATTATAAATATAAAAATAATTACATTTCATACAGTAAAAGGTTGAAAACCGCTACTAAAAGTGCTAAAGAGTGTCATTTTTCAATTTTTGCCCATTTTATATATTATACGAGTATCTCGTAAACTAAAAGAGATATATAGGAACAACGTCGGGTTGAAAGAGTAAAATCACCAAAACGAGCAGAAATTAGTCATTTGCAACACAAAAATGCACATTTTGTCGCTAATTCATTAGCTAATCTCAGAAGTTATTATTGAAACTGATAGAGAAATACTTATAATCTGATGCAAGAATGGTTCTTCTACAATATTGGGTTCAAGCGTAAAATCCCTAAAACAAGGGAAATTAGTTCTTCGAAACACAAAAATGCAATTTTTGTTCTTCTTTCTTGAGTTAGTCACTAAAGGTATTTATGAAAATAATAAAGAAATTTAATACTTACAATCTGATGCACGAATGGTCTTCCTAGGACGTCATGTTGAAGAGTAACACTCCTAAAACAAGAAAAATGAGTCCTCCAAATCACAAACATGCAATTTTCGTTGCTAATTAATGAGCTAATGACAAAAGTTATTTATGAAAATGATAAAGAATTTCCATACTTACAATAGTAAGTAGTTGTCCTGTGATGTCGGATTGAGGTGCAAAACCCTTAAAACAAGCAAAATTAGTCATTCGAAACACAAAAATGCAATTTTTGTTGCTAATTATTGAGCTTATCACTAAAGTTATTAATGAAAATGATAAAAAAATTCAATACCTATAATCTGATGCAAGAATAATTCTCACACTTGCTGTGGTAATTGCGCATTATCATGGATATCGTTTTACGTCATTTCAATGTCGGTTGCATATTAAGATAGCGCAAAAATTCTTGAATTGTGGTGATAATATAAACTTTAAAACTCTCTCAGTGAAAATACATTTATAAGCAAGAATTCTTATTGGCAGTGGGCCCCAGCCTATTCCGCAAATCACCCGCAAACCCCGAAAAGTCTGCAACTTTTAACCTTTTCAAAACAAAGTAAAGCGAGGCCAACTAGATCAAAATAAAATAAAGGTTGCACACACTAGCCACCCGTAGCGTACGTTTCCCAATAAGGTGGCCATGGATGCACCAAAGAAAACGTGTTAATTGCTTATTGGTCAGAATTTATTTTCATAGGCTACTTTACTTTCGTCAGATTGTTTACTTTTGTTTTTTCACCCAAACAATTTAAAAAAACAAATTGTAGATATAAATATGCAAACACCAAGTTTGAATTCATTTGAAAAGCAGTCCTGCTCAACTAAACACCCTGCCCAATTTTCATTGTTTTTCGGGAACAAAATGGAAAATACAAACTTTGATACACTGTCAACTATCTCAGATTGGGAAAAAGAAGAAATAATTGACCTAATAACAGTCCATCCACCCGACATAATCTCCATCGATATCATTGATTTGACTAAATCAGAGCTCGATTTTGTCAATAGTCCGTTACCCTTCGCTACGAATAAACCAGAAAATACTGGCGCAACTAGAAAGATACGTAAAACGCGGCCGCGAAAACCGATCTTGGTAAACGTCTCGGAGAATACTTTCCCAGACGCAATCGAACGGGAAATGGTGGGCAGTAATCTAAAAAGAAGTACAAAGAGAAGAGCCACAAAGTCAAGGTTCTATAGCAACTGTCCATGTTGCAATGAGACAAAAGTTTCACACAAGACTGGCCGAAAGAAGAGAGCGAGCAAACGCCGGTGCCAAAAATCGGTTAAATCGGAGGTATGTGAAAAGAGCTCACCGTCAGACGATACTGAATCAACTGAAATTGAGATAATCGAAGATCCTGAAGACTACATGCATAATCTTACTTACACTAATCCACCGGAGACACAATTAAATAGCCCGTTCCTAACTTCTACGGCAAATCCCGGACGACCTGACATTGAAGAAGCCATTTACGAAGCAATCGGACGTTTGATGGACCCAGAAGAGGACGAACCACTGAATAATAATATTCCGGACAATAATGGTCCATACGAAGAAAATTTAGCCTCGTTGTTGGAGAGCCTAGACAAATTCCTTGAGGATGATGGCGATGAACTGAAAGAAGATTTATTAGAGATAATTTCCCTTCGAAACAAACATAATAATAATAATAATCAGTAATATTTTCGAGTAATCTAAACCATGTTAACTTTATCTAATAAATTACTATTACCTTTATGAATTTAATTTTTTATCCCTATCAACTCAAACTGTACTTTTTAAATTATTAAAAGAAAAATCCCGAGCAGGTTTCGGTTGCGCAGATACCCTTCTTCCCGCCGGCGCAAAAACACTCGCATCGATCAAACATTTCGTCGTTATAGAAACTAAATTTCATTTTTCACATATAGATTTTGACGATTGGCACTGCCGAAACGTTTACACATTTTATTTCTCTCTACCGATTTCTACTTATTTCTACAATCATTGCTTCCTTACCAGTACATTCACCATCATCTAATAAAATGGCCGCGGAACCGGTGAAAATCACAATAAAGGAGAGCTTGCCGGTGATAACCACTCCGCCTGTCCTCGTTCCCAGGCTGCTCCTTGGATTGAATACTGCGGTCAAGGGCAACGTGCAGTTTTTAAGCGATGACGAGCTTATTTATCCCGCTGGTGCAGTCCTGGCCTTTCATAACACCACACTGAAAAAGCAGAAATACATTCGATTACCCGAAAAAGGAGCAAATATCAACCTGATTGCGCTTAGTCCTAACAAGTAAGTGAAATGATTTATGAATGAATACGATTTATAATTTTTGCTTGTGCAGAAAACATTTGGCTATTTGTGATGTTGGCGATAAGGTATCGGTGACTTTATACGATCCGGTTTCTTATAAAAAACGTAAGCAAATTTATATGCCAACTGAACGAGATATTTCTGCCAAGCGCGTTGAAGCAGTCTCCTTCACCTGCGACTCGAAGTGTTTAATTTTTGTCGTGGGAGACCCAGATTGGTTGATGATCATCTTTAAAATTGACAAAATCAAATTAGATTCGATAACTAGAGCTAATAACAGTAATAACACCGGATCTGTTATTCAGGTAAGAAATGAATAAACTTATCTATTCACTTTTTCTCATAATTTAATTGTAATAGATTTGCCCCAATCCTACCGATTCAAACCTGCTAGTACTAGTAGGCAATGGGCTCTTTCGTAGCCTTTCATGCGCCGAGGGTATTTGGCGCCAATTCGGATTCAATAAAGCCGAAAATCTCAACATTGCTTCAGCCTGTTGGATAACACAAGACCGTCTGCTCGCCGGTACCACTCACGGAAAACTAATGTATTTTGAAAATGGCGAATTGAAACGCGTTTACCACGCTATTGATACCATTGCTTTGATCCTGAAAGACAGCAATGATTCAAAAGAGTCGGGATTTTTTGGAAGCGCTACAATTGTACCTCCAGAACCGACAACAGAGACAGCACCCACAACTTCAGTTGCAGAAAATGACAACAATTCCATATCACATCTCACCAACTTCGCACGTGGCTTTGTTTTCTGCTTCCAGCGAGGCGCGCTGCAGTATTTCGAAAAGGTCACCGCACATAAATACGTGCGAAAGGTAATCTTTCGAATTCCGGACAATAACATTGTCCGGCTGGATGATGACATCAAAGAAGATCAAGAAGAATTCATTCATGAATATTACAATGAAGTCAACTCAATTGCGATTCCACCATCGGAAAATCGAATTCTTGTAACATGCAACGAAACGCAAATTTACGTTGGAAAATTGCTTGGTACCGAGGGCGATGTTACAATGAGCGTCCATGGTCTACCCTTGCATCATGGACCTATTTGTTCTGTTGCCGTCTGTACATGGAAGCCAATCTTTATGACTGCTGGTTGCTTTGACCGGACGCTAAGAATTTGGAATTACGAAAATGAAACTATTGAGTTATTGAAAAGATATCAAGAAGACATCCTAACATGCGATCTACATCCAACAGGGTATTTTACGGTGGTGGGCTTTTCGGATAAACTCCGCGTTCTAAAGATAATGATGAACGACTTTGTGAGTGATCGTGAGTATCCAATCAGAGGCTGCAAGCTGGTGAAGTACAGTAAATTGGGGCATTTGTTCGCTGCGGTGAATGGCAATATGATTCAAGTTTATTCGAGTGTCAGTTATGAGCACATGTTTAATTTAAAGGGACACAACGGAATTGTATACAGGTTTGACTATCAAATTTAAGCAAAACATGCTAAAAGTCAAATTTCAGGTGACTTCTATCTCCTGGGCACATGATGATTACAAACTCTCCTCGTGTGGCACTGAGGGAGCAGTTTACGAGTGGCAAATTTCAACAACAAGACGAATTTGCGAAACTATCATAAAAGTGTGTCAGTTTTCTGGTTTAGCCATTACTAACGATGGCAAATCCAACTTTGCTGTTGGATCTGATGGTCGAGTGCGCGAAATAGTCAATTCCAATGTTTACAATGAGCTTAAAATCACTTCAAATTCATTGGAATGTATGGCAATGGCAAACTCAGACGCTATGATGTTCACAGCTGGCAATAATGGCACAGTATACTCTTTACTGATTCCGATCAGTGACACTTCATGTACAAATGAGTACTCCATTCACAACAAGAAAATTTCAGCGGTATATAAACCTAATCACAACTAATAATGATATATCTAAATATAATAATTTTGCAGATGCAAATAACTTACGACGATAAATGGGTGATTACTGCGTCTCCGAGTTGTATTTGCATATGGCGGATTGCGGGTGCCGATTCACGAATGGTTCGACTCGATAAGGAATTTGTGCCGTCCACAGAAGTGATGATCAAACGATCGGACCTCCTGGATAAACTGGCACAAATCAAGGAATTGCAAGTGCGAATCAACGAGATGCAAACGGAGCATTCGTATCAAATGCGACAAACTGTGGGCGCGCACACCGCGATCATGACTGATATGCGCACTCGCTTCCAACAGTCCATCGACGAGCTGAAGGAAAAGAATGAAAATCTCGAGTTGGAGCATAACATCGAAATGAGTAACATTAACATGGAGATTGCTAAAATGAGTAATCAAAATGACGCGTATGTACAGAAACTAGAAGCGAGTTATATCGAAAAACTTATTGTGGAGTACGATAAGTATATGCTGCTTGAAGAAAGACTATGTAAAATGAGAATGACTTACGATAAAGAACTAGAGGAACTTGCTGAGGCAAAACGCGTGTCGGAGAAAACAATCACTCATACTTATGATGTTCAGCTGCGAAACAAAACTGGTTTAGTTGAAGAGGTAAGTAAAATAAAAATGTACAGCTGTTTTACAGCATCTAATATTTTTAAATTTTATATTAGCTCCGAACAAAAGTTGCACTAATGGCAAAAGAAGCAGAGACAACGAAGGAGCAGATAGAAGACGATGCAGATCGGGAAATCTACGAAATCAAAGCCGAGTTTGAGAAAGAACTTCGCGATGAACAAGATTTAAATGTCCGCTTACGTGGCGAGACGCAATCTTCAAAGAAAAAACTGCAGATTTCGCAGAAAAGCATCGACGATTTGATGCACACCTTGCACACGCATGAAATCGAACAACATAAACTTCGAACGGTTATTTTTGGCTTGGAACAGACCATAAATGATCTGAAAAACGAAATTGCCGAGCGAGACTTGACTATTCAAGATAAAGAAAAGCGTATTTCCGAATTAAAAGACAAAAATCTAGAACTGGAAAAACTCAAGTTTATTCTAGAGTTTAAAATTGATGAGCTCAAAGCACAAATTGAACCTCGTGACCGTACTATTGCAGAGCAGACCGAACAAATAACAGACATGCTTACAGAACTCGAAAATCTACAGAAAATCATCCAGAGTCTTGAGCTGCAGTTGACGAAAATGCGTGAAAAGTTACGCGCGGCTGATAACGAAACAAAGCGTGAAGTGGTCAGGAATCGCGCGGCAAAGGCGAATTTGAAACGCATCAAAACCGAAATTCATTTCGCTTCTGGTATGATTCAAGATATACCAAAGATGCAAAAAGCCGTACGTGAAATGTATCACAAACATAATGCCGATAAAGATTTTGCTATTACTCACGCTGAAGATGCTGAGGCGAAGAAAGAATTCATGCGGCAACGTGATTTCCTCGAAAGATCAGTAAAAGCACTCAGAGCACAAGTTACGAAGTCAAAATCATACACCGGCGAGAACCTGCGGCTAGTCGAACAGAATTCACAACTGATCAACGAAACAAACAATCTGCGCAAGAGTCTCAAGGTGGAGCGCAAAGATAACAAACGAATGTCAGCGTTGTTGGGATGCAAATCTAACGCGATACCAGCGGGCAAACCGTCAATGCTTCTAGAGAAAGCGCTTGCAACGAAAGATGAAATCCGGCAGGAATACGTCGGTATCATTGAAGATGATCAGAAATCTATGGAGATTTTACACGCAGAAAACGCTCGATTGCGGGCAAAGATTACAAATATTTTGGACACGCACATTCCCAAACCGTTATATTAAATGTACGATAAATGAATGATGAATAAAATTTACGAGTGTTATCTTACCTTGACTGATATATTCCGAAGTAGATAATCTATCGAGATAGGCAACCGAATGCACAGGAAAACCGTCACAGTAGGTATGAGCCACGTTGGAAGTGTCGACTTGTCACTTTGTTATTTGTGTTTATGAGTGAACGACGAGCGGCACCAAAAAATAAATAAATGCGATTCATTTGATCCGGACGTGCACCACTGGAAATTAGGTAACGCAGGTGTTCATCAACTTCCATCCGACACCTACAAATATCTCTGTTAGTAGTGTAAAATGAAAGTGAAAGATTTGGAACGTACGGCGAATATCGCCTGGTCGCCGGCGAACGTGTCCCCCATCTACTTAGCCGCTGGCACCGCTGGCCAACAACTCGATGCCTCGTTTGAGACGAACGCCTCGCTGGAGATCTTCGCCCTAAATCTAGATGAGCCAGGAACTGAAGTGGAGACCAAAGCAAGCACCATCAGTGAACACAGATTTCACAAGCTTGCATGGAGCAATTATGGTAGTGATGCAGGCACAATCGTCGGCGGTTGCGATGCCGGTATTATGCAGATATACAACGCCAATAAGATGCTGCAGGGTGAGCCTGGACTGGTGTCAAAGCAGGACAAGCACACAGGTGCTGTGCACTCAATTGACTTCAACCCCTTTCAGAACTACCTGCTGGCATCTGGTTCTGTCTCATCAGAGATTTTCATCTGGGACCTGAACAACTTATCAGCACCAATGACACCCGGTGCTAAATCACAACCATTTGAAGATGTGCTTAGTATTCAATGGAATCGTCAAGTTCAACACATCCTAGCGTCCACGTTTTCGTCGAAATGTGTCGTGTGGGATTTGAGGAAAAACGAAACAATCATCAAACTTACCGATACAGTATCGCGCATTCGTTGGAAGGTGGTCGCGTGGCATCCGGAAGTTGCCACGCAGTTGTGTCTGGCGTCTGAGGAGGACCAAGCGCCGGTGATTCAACTTTGGGACTTGCGTTTCGCCACATCACCACTGAAAACTTTGGAGAATCATCAACGCGGTGTATTGTCAATGGCATGGTGTGCACAAGACCCTGACTTACTGGTTTCCGGCGGTAAAGACAACCGCCTCTTATGTTGGAATCCTAATTCTAATCAACAAGGAGGTGAAATTCTTTCCGAGGTTGGAACTACTAATCAATGGAGCTTCGATATCGCATGGTGTCCGAAAAATCCCGCTTTGATTGCGACGCCTTGTTTCGACGGGCACGTTTCGGTTTATTCATTGCTGGGCGGAAAAGCGCAGCAAATCCAAACCACGAATAAGATTGCTGACAGTTTTCCGGGAATGGATGCAGGGGATTATGTGCAGGCACCGGTTCAACAACCCACTGCCAACTTAAGTGTGGATTTGTCGAAAGCGCCAAAATGGTTAAAGAAACCAGTTGGAGCTTCTTTCGGTGTAAGTACCAACTGCACTCGCTTTTAAAACTACATTTTAACTTCACATCTTATTAAATTCTAGTTCGGCGGTAAACTTATCAGTTTCGATCATGATAAATCCACGCCATCACAACAGGCTGCTGTAAACGGGCAGGCCCCGCTCGTCCCACGACAAGTTTATATTAGCCAAGTTGTTACCGAATCGGAGCTGGTCCGCAAAAGTACTGAACTGGAACAAGCATTAGAGTACGGAAATTTCACAGGTAACTATCTTATATTATCTTCGGAAATGCAGTAATATAGTTGACGTTGTTTAAAGATTATTGCCGTAACAAAGCGGACGCTTCCATCGATCAGCATACGCGCTACGTGTGGCATTTCTTAAAGGCGAACTTTGAGCCGAACCCAAGAACTGAATTTCTTAATCTACTGGGTTATAAGATCGAAGACGTCAATGCTAAACTAGCACCGCATATGCTTCCCAAAGAGGAGGACGCTCTCAATCAGCTGAACCAACAATTCATGACTGCCAATCGGGTAATTTTGCCACTTTCCTTACTATTTGAACACATAAAGTTAATGCATGCATGAATATATAGATCGACACCAACGACGGGTTCGATCAAATCAGAACTCAACAGCAGCAATCGGAGCCAAAAGTATTAAAACCCTACCGCATCCATACTGGTGATGATTCCGACGGTTTGATAGCGCAAGCGTTATTGCTCAACAACGTTGAAGCAGCCGCGGATTTGTGCATCAAGGCGAAGCGCTACGCGGATGCTATCATTATCGCCATGACCGGGGGACCAGAGCTATGTGCACGCACTCAAGCTAAATATTTAGAGCAGTGCGAGGGCTATGTGTCTTCTCTGATCTCAGCTTTGATTAGGGAGGACTGGGTGTCGGTGATCAACAATTGCGAGATTGAAAGTTGGCGCGAGGCTCTTGCAGCCAGTTTGACTCATTCTTCAGATGATGATCTGCCAGTGCTTTGCGGTAAGTGCATTGAATTTCTTGTTATTTTGTTGCTAATTATTTCCTTGTTTCAAAAGAAATGATGGGAACTCGTCTGGAACAAGAAAGTTCAGCTCGTTCAAACACGAAATTGCTGCAAGAAGCGCAACTTTGTTATATATGCGCTGGTAGTTTTGATAAACTGGTGACGTCCTGGACAACGAATGCTAACAGCTCCAACGACGATCTGCAAGACTTGGTCGAACTCGTCACATTCCTGCAGAAGTCGGTTGAACGCCAAGGAAAGCAAGTGCATGTCACCGGCCGCCTGGCCGATCTTCTATCCAACTACGCTCTAATCCTAGCATCCCAGGGAAATTTGAGTACTGCGTTGTCCTATTTGGGTTCTTCGAAGGACCCAAACGTCGCGGATTTGCGCGAGCGTTTATACATCGCTCTGGGTCACAAACCCGCTGCATACGCGCCAGTTCAACCACGTAGTCGCCAAAACACTCACCGCTCTTCCATCACCTCGGCGTTCCGGCCCGCTGTGGTGCCAAATGCAGTGCCTCCCGTTACGCAACCATGGCAGCAACAAGCCACCAATGCGCAACCTGGATGGCAGGCTCAAGGACTCTCGCAGACGCAATCGGCCGCCGCTCCGTGGCAACAACCGCCTGCTCAGCCGTGGCAAAATCCGATTAATAGCTTTAACCAGTCACCGCCGTCGCCTGGTCCACCCATATTGCCGCCTATGAATGCGCAACCACCGCGTCCGATCAGCGTTGGACCCACGGGTCTACCGAAGAATAAATATGTTGTGGATCCATCGGTGCAAAGCGGAGGATATGGCTCGCCGATGCGTAATAACAGCTTCAATAATGGAAGCACTTACGGGACGCCATCCTTCCAACCTCCGATGATTCCGGCACCGCAGGTGAGCATGATGTCCCCGTCGCCGAACATGATGATGCCGCAGCCGCAGGCAACGCCGTATGCGACGCCATTTGTGCCTCAGCCAACTCCGCAGCCTGAGATGCCAATGCCGCCAACGTCGTCGGCAATGAACGCGCTACCGCCCACGGCTGCTCCCGGTTGGAATGATCCGCCGGTTCTGCACAAGGCAGCGAAACAATCGGTATGTATCTACCACATTACATGATTCGTTATTAGTTTCAATTCTACAAATCATTTGTTATATATTGAGATAGTTATATGGGGAGAACAAAATGTATGCGGAACATTCCGGCATGCGGTTGTGGAAGAAAAGCACAGAGGTATTTTTTTATTGTGTGGCGTGTGAGGTTGCAAAATTTGACAAAACAAAAAACAGTTTCAACCCCGGTACCCTACGACAGTACGAGGGAGTATTTGATTTGATGTGGGATTTATTAGTACGGATTTAAACCACACACCAAGCGCGCGACCTGTTTGTTAATCGTTAAATTATTCTTTCCATTCAGTTGGCTAAGCCAGAAGTCCCACAAAACCCGATAACACACCCGATATTCGGCACAGCGCCCGTCACACCACTCCAGCCAACGTCTAACGGTTACATGGACCCCACACAACCGCCGGCGCCTACACAGGCCTACAACCCTTACATGAGCCAACCAAGTGTGCCCATGATGCCGCAGCCAGGCATGGAACCCAATATGTTCCAGCCACAAACACACCCGCAGCAGTTTGGCAACTTTAATACACAACCGATTATGCATTCACAGTTGGCGCAGCAGCCCGCTAAGGTAGAAACTGCTCCTCAGGAGGCCGCCGAGCCTGTGCCCAAACCTCCTATCCCAGAGGAACACATTCACATGCAGACGGTATTCGATGAATTGCGGATGCAATGTGGCAGAGCGGCAAATAATCCGGTAATATTAATTAAATCTATCATTTATCTAACAATCCAGTTACATTGAAATTATACTTTAGCAAACGAAGAGAAAAATTGAAGACGTCGGAAGAAAGCTAGACACGCTCTATGACTTATTACGAGAACACAAGGTAAAACTATTTGTGTGCTCGTGAAATTTGTACCATTTGTAACATTTGTCATTTTTAGCTTTCTGCGAATGCGCTGGCCGGCCTGCATCAAATGGTGCAACAGATACAGCACGGTGACTACCCCGGCGGACTAGCAATGCACACCCAGTTGGTTTCGGGGCCCGACTTTGCGCAAATCGCCGCGTTTATGCCCGGACTGAAGGTGCTACTGCAGTGCGCACTGCAATTACAAGTCTACCTGAGGTAAACACACCACAATCAACGCGCCTCGTCGTATTTACATGATTTCTAACAAATTAAACATTATATTAATTAAACAATTATTGTATTGATGAAGAAAACATGATGAAAAATTAATTTGTCGCAATTAATTAAAGTAATATACATAAATATATATATATACATATAAATTTTCTTGAATATGATTTTATAAACTCTTCAGTATTTTTAAATGAAATATAGGTGACAGAAATCTAATCAATACGAAACCAAAATTTTTATGAAACCCGTGAACTTGCCAGCTATACTTTTATGTATATATATATATACATATACGTATATATTTACAAATAATAATTCTTATCCGCCTAGTTGAATTCCAAGGTTTGCGTAATTACTACTTGAAATTTGAAAGAAACTTTTAATTTTCCAGCCACATGTACTTAGTTGACCGCAATTTAATAATTCATCGCTCGTCAGGACTACACAAAAGACACGCTAGTTAGCTAAACACATTACAAATTAAAAATAATCCCGCGCACACACAAATTCGTAATACGCGACGAGCTCGCGCTTAAAACTCGCGCCGATGGTACTTATCTGGATCGAAGTAGGACGTGACCACGACCCTGTTGGAGAACTTACGTCCGGTGAGAGTCTGCTGCGCCTTCTGGCAATCCAGCACGCTGTTGAATTCAACGAACACCTTGCCGCAGCCGGGCACCTCGACACCCTCAATCGGCCGCGGGATTTCTATGCTGCGTACTACGCCGTACTTATTGCATTCCTCCTTGATGTCTTCCAGAATATCCTCGTACTCTTCCTCGTCCTTGAGCTCGTCGGGCGTTACCATATTCAACAGGCACAGTACTTCAGTAGCAGGGCCAGAGGCGCCTACTAGACTGAGGCCAGGTACCTGGATTTGTACGCTCGGTACGATAGTGTTATTCTTCGCGCCGACTGAGGCACGTTGGACGATCAACTTCTTGTCACCCAGTTGCATACCGTTCAATCCTGCAATCGCCTGTTGAAAGAAAATTCAAAAATTTAGTAAAGTATGTTTATTGGTTGTGGAATAGTGCTGCGTACCTGATCCGTCATGGTTATATCAATGTACTCAGCGAAAGCATAACCTTTACTGAGCCCGGTGGCGGAATCCTTAACCAAGTTGAAAGCACGTAGTTGTCCGAAAGACATTAACAGCTCCTTAACCTACAGAAACAATTGCATCAGTGATAAGCGCGCGTTCTTCCCCCAGCTACTCTAACTTAACATGAACATGATGTGTTCGGTTGACACAATTTACTATGACTGCATTTTCGTCTAGTTTTTTTGAATAAAAAAATCAATATATCTGAGATAACAAATTTCGATTCCCCTCTGACTTGAATTAATGTGACATGAAGTGAATACGCGGGCGATGCTGCTCGCACATGGCTCGGATCGACACGCTGTTTGTCGGCTTTTTTGTACACTGAAAACTGTATTGCTTTGATTTGAGCTGTTTTTTGTTTGTAACTTGCCTGCGTCCACAGGTGATCTGTTTACACGAATATTGGCAGTCAGTTTCGACCCGTTTCGTTTTCGTATTAGTAGGGACCGAGACCCACACCCTAGCTATAGGGCAAACAAGCAAAGTTTTACATCAATAAATTACGCACAGGTTTAATTCATTGTAAAAATAATAAAAATAAAAAATAAATTAAAAAAATAGAGAGAGCAGTAAGTAGGAAATCATAAAAACCAAAACCAAATCGAATGCAGCAGCGATCAAATGAAACAACGACTGATCGGGTAAACATAACTCGGATAACTGTAAGGAATCAGATGACCCTAAATAAAGCAAGAGAATGATTAGGTGTGAGCCGCAGGTCGCCGCGCAACCACCTGAAATCAGACGCCGCACTTCGCGCGTATGAAAATTTTGCAATTCGGTTTGCTGTAAGTAAATGTGCTGAAAAGTACTTTGAACAAATTTAAATCGTTGCGGCTGCAATTGCGCATATCTTGCGTGTGTCTCGCTTGATTCTAAAATGTAAAAATAAATCAAAATAATAGTAAAGAAACGAAACAAGGGAGGCTGAAAAGATATTTTCCTGTTAGCCTCTATAAAATCGTTCAGCATTCGGTTTTTAAGCTCTGACTTTATTTTCAACGCCCTTTTTTGTTTGTTTGCATGTTTGGTATTTGGCTTTAAAGTGATGCGTGCTGTGAATTAAACCTGAAAAGCTTCAACAAGAACCTGGAAACGCATTCAATGAACAAACTCTCTCACTCTCTCTCTCTCTCGCTCTTGATTTTCGGCTGTAAAAGAAACCCTGAAATCTCGCGCGCGTGTTTTACTTGTATTTAAAGTGTTCGCTCTCTGCTTCCAATCTCCATTTCGTAATCGTTTAGCTAGTCAATCTCGCCTTTACGACCTTCTGTGTTCACAAAACGTACTCTCAACCAATTCGCGAGATTTTCTTGCACCGATTTTTAATGACGCTAAAATACGAGTATGCCGTTACCGGCGCGACGCCTTGACGTACCTGGTCCTCGTTCAAATAATTTGGTAAACCCCCTATAAATATCTTATGAGGTGAATCTGGCACGACGGTGCTAATCACGCCCGCCGGCACTGATAGTGCACTCTCCGCCATTCCGGGCATCGGCTGGTAATCGTGCGGCCTGCGAATCTTTAAACTTTGACCTGTAACCAAAGAAGACATCAGTGTTTCACTCGGAAACTTCAAAATATGTTAAACAATCAAAATCAATAGTTATAACCAAGACAGAAGTTTTAAAACTTTAAAATCATTTGCATGCATGATAAATCAACGATTCGCAAACTATTACAGATTCATTATCATTAAATGTACCACAACACAATGTTTTCTGAAGTATTTAGCATAATAAACAGTAAATGTGCTGGCATAAGCAAATTTTAAGAAAATATTTGTTTGTCCAACCGGTATTGTTAAAGTAAACAAGCATAATGACTTTATACTCAAAATAATGGTGTTTATAAAAACAAATCTTATCAACTATGAAAAATAAATGAGTAGTCATGAGTTTTCACGTACCTTTAAAATTAATTCCATCAAAAGCCATTGCCTGTGTAGTCTCATCAATAGACCTAAACTCCAAAAACGCAAAATTTTTATCCAGATTAATCTGACACGCAAGCACAGGATTGCCCGCCGCTTGTGCCAGTCCACTCAGATGCATCTGCTGGTTGAAGAACTCCATCATCTCCTCCTCAGTGACGCCGAACGGTATGTTGCCTACATACAAGCGACGCGCCTGCCGCGTTATCGTTGAACCTACAACAGGAACGGCCGCCTGCGGCGTGTCGGCGACGATGTTTGCCGGGATCTGGCCCGCCGCTTGCATCGCTTTGTACTGCAGCGGCGTAATATGTTCGAAACCCGGGGGCGGCACATCCCAGTAAAGACTTGGTTTCCTTCGTCTTGAATGTCCGACTGGTTTGTGTCTTGAGCTACATTCATAGCAAGCAACAGTGATTTGTTAGTGACTATAGATAACAAAATACGCGGTAATTTTATCACTTACCCAGATCGGCTCCTTCTGGGACGCTCCCGGCGTTCGCGACTCCTCGATCGGGATCGGCGTCTGTGTTCCCTAGACCTGGAGCGGCGTTTGCGATCCCGGTCGTTGTCTGCGAAAGAATCATACGCAACCGTCGTAAGCATTCGGCGTGAAGTGTGCGCACACGAGAATACCGCACGCTTACCTTTGGATTCCTCGCCCATGGAAGTGGACGTCAGTTTAATGCTTTAAATCACTGTCGATGACAATAAACACTAGCGAACGGCGTCTTTTCGCTAGACCACGCAAGAAAATGACAAAAACGCAACACACAAGACCGCAAACGCCGCTAGTGTAGCTAGCTGCAGAAGCGTCGCGTGCGAGTGTACTAAATGGAATAAAATGGTGGTTGTATGCCTGGTTATGTGCGCGCGCAGCTCACGATACACGCCGCCCAAAATACAGTTGGTACGCCCTGCGCGTGCGAAACTGTCAGACCTCTTTTTAAATCGCACCAATTCTTCGTGCAAACAACAAACCGCCCCACAAATCACTTATTTGATAGGTTACAATTACGCGAATTAAATAAAACAAACAATCTCAGCTTGTTACAGTTACTTAGCAATCATTAATTGCCATTAGTAACACATTCAATAAAAATAACAAATGTAGGGATTTTATTTTGTTGCTTGCAAGCCTGTTAAAAATTTTCACTTTCGTAAATATCGCAAAAACCGTATTCCTGTCAGCCGCAACAAATCAGTCAGACTGCCTAGGGTCACTCCACGCGGCGCTTAATATCACATAAATTTGTAAGTAATCAATTAAAACCCACTCATATTCCACGAATTATTATTACCAAAGTACTATTTACCTGTGTTTCGCTTAGAAATAGCGATTTTTCATAAAATTCAGGTTGCGTCATGGCCAATACACGATATCCTCTAATTTTCCCTACTCATCCGTTTTGTATCGTTATCACTCATAGATTGTGGAGTATTAGAAAACGAAAAGATAGAGATCATGGGCGTTTTCAGTTCGAAAGGACCCTCCGGTAACATGGCGTCACCAAAAGCCATCATGGTCAAGGACCTGATTAACAGCGACACGGTCGTCATTTTCTCGAAGACCTACTGCCCTTATTGCAAAATGGCCAAAGAGGTTTGTCAACACACATACAACAAGTGTTAAAAAAACAAACAAATCAACACTATTCTAATCCACAGGTCTTCGATAAATTGCAACAGAAATACACGGCGGTAGAATTGGACAATCGGGCGGACGCCGACGAAGTCCAAGCGATCCTAGGCGAAATTACCGGGGCGCGTACCGTGCCGAGAGTGTTCGTGAAGGGCGAATGCCTCGGGGGCGGCAGTGACGTCAAACAACTCTACGAATCCGGCAAACTGGAATCATACTTCGCTTAATTGGTGCCAACGCAACTTATTACCAACCAAAAAAAAGTTTTCTATGATTTTCTCATTCGTGATAGCAATTGATTCCCTGAAATATATACTCCTAGACAATAATAGTGTACTAGCGAGAACTCGAAACTGAAATAAAACCGAATGAAACACAGTCTCAATTTTTAATTACCCTTGACCTTGGACGCGTCTCGAAAATCCGACGATGAATATTTTATTTAGGTAGTCGATTGCCTAATGGCAGCAGGTATACTAAATAATTCCCGCCTGTAGAACTGCGCAGCTTAATAATCCGATAATAGAGCAGGTAGAAACTGGAAACACGTGCGGTGAGTTTGTATGTAAGCCAGCTCGAGAGATAACCGTTGCAACATTGTTGCGTACGAGTAGCTGGTTACCTCGAAGGAAAGTTAGGCAACTTCGCAGCACACAGTGAATGGGGATCAACGAAATATTCTACACGTTGTATACCTTCGAAGCTAAATTATGCACAGTGTGCGATTCGGTTGTTCCAGTGTTAACAGAGTTATTGCAGCCGTAGACCAGCCATCGTCGGTGGGAAACAATCGACAACGCCACGCCGAGGGCAAGATCCGTTTCGTCAAACAGGAAGTAGCTGATTATCGCTGCAATCGCGCATGTTACGAAACAACCTGAGTTGTGAGATTCTCGTACGCTTGCGCCAAGTCAGCAATGTGCACATGACAATCGTCAACAAACAACCATTACGCGTTTGACAGTTCCTACAAAACACTCTCCTGGTGAGTAGCGTATTTTTACACATTTCCATGACGGTTGCGATGCACACCTTTAATATGGACCAAGTTGATTATTCTCATATTATATTAAATAGGTGATGTACATTTTGAAAGAAATAAGTTGTTTTTTTTGTGCAATTGGCAATGTGTGCAAAAATTCATGGGTGGGTCTTGTAAGATTCGCTGATGCTGGAATGTTCTCACGCGCTCGATTGCCCACGCGCTGAATCCGCTGAATTGAGAAGCTGAACTGTGCACCCGACGCCAATCTCGAACGTATAAACATGAGCGACGAGCGCGGTGGTCATGGAGCTCTCGCCATACGCGCCGCTGATATAAAATATAATTCGGTTTTCATTTGGCGGTGCGCTCACTCGCTGGCGAGTCCCCCGGTCGCACGCAGCACCAACTCATTTGGCTTCGCTTCAATTCTAATTCGGATTATTCAATTTACAGGCATGATAGATAACACCAGCATTGTACAGCAATGCCTAGAACTCTCCAAACGAATTATTCCCTGCGTCGATCTCAAAAAGTAAGTGAAATATTCGAAAACTTTTTTTGTACACTAATAAAAACACTTTCAACTGTTTTTTTTTTGTTGCATGTAATAAACTTCAATGTTAGCAAAATGTAACGTTAGTTTACAAACCACATACAGAGATTTATATCGCTCGTAAATTTCCTGTTTTATAAATCTATCGAAATATTAAGTTGATGAGCGTTTTTGTCTGTGTTGAGTACATATTTACATGCATATCGCGCACGTTTTCAAATATTTCAATATTAGTCGGTTCGACAAATTGATTATTCCTGTCGGAATAGTTTTGATGATACATATAATTACCTTTTTTTTTTTTAGTTTGAAATGGAAAAATGGAAAGCCAAAACCGAACGAGGCATATTGCCCCACCGAAATTGAGCACCTAGCCAACATCGTCACCCATGGAATTGCAATTTTACCCTGCATCCTAGGCACGTATGAATTATGCTGGCGCTCCGAGTCCTTCATGCAGCTCTTCGCCGCGTTGATCTACGGCGCGACGCTGGTCTTCTTGTTTTCGATATCCACATGCTTCCACTGCGTGTTTTTCCGAAATCAAAACGGGTATAGCACTGAAACTACGAGTGTGATGCGTTATCAGATTGGAGACTAAACTGGTCTGATTGTGTTTGCAGGCACTTGAAAGATTGCCTCCATCGATGTGATAGAGCGATGATCTACATCTTCATCGCCGGCTCCTACTTCCCCTGGCTGATGCTCTGCCACATACCGCATGGCGGCTGGGCGATCTCAATGCGTTGGCTCATCTGGATCTTCGCCCTCCTGGGCATCGTCTACCAGCAGACCTTCCACGAGCAGTACAAGTGCCTAGAGACGTGCTTGTATCTCTTCATCGGCATCATGCCCGCCGTGGCCATCTTCTCCGAGGTGAGCGCTTTGTAGACGTTTGTTACAAAAAAAAAAGAGCTTTTGCTTCATTGCGGCGGCATTGCCATATCTAGGTGGACTCGTCGGCGATGTTCGAGTTGAAGCTCGGTGGGATCTTCTACACGTTCGGCGTGTTTTTCTTCAAGGCGGACGGGCGCATCTCGTGCGCGCACGCCATTTGGCACGTCTTCGTGATCGCCGGCGCCACGGTGCACTATTACGCAATACTCACACATCTCTATAAACTGCCGGGTGAGACCGGTGGAGGCGCCGGGGTGGTTGGCGATTATGACCCGAGCGTTGCACGCCAGGAGTTGTAGAACGAAAATGAGAAAAACGCAAGGGACCGCAAAACCTTTTACTCATTACTCTTTACATATGTGTATGTTTATATCAGGTTTTTTACAAACAATATTGAAGTGAGGTGGATCGCCGAAACAAATCTAAATGAGATAAAACCAAAAAAAAAAAACACTCGGAACGAATGTGTCAAACTAAGTATTGAATCAAACGCGCCATTTTTTTCTACACATATTCATTACGTCCGTTTTGTTTTTATAAAACAAAAACAGTTGTATACTACAGCCAAACATACCAAAGTAATAAGCATATAATTTTAATATTTATATTTTTTACGAGTATTTACGTTAATTTACATTCAGTTGTCGTTAGTCTGGCATTTTTAATCGATATTTACAAATATCCACGTACACTTGCGATCGCAAAACCTTTTGAAATCTACCTGTATTAATATACATTAGAATCTGTGATGATGAAAATTTTTAATGAAGAAATTTACACTACGTTTACACGATAAAAACAAGAAAAAAACTAACTAATCAATCCAATAATTATGAGTGGAGAGTACAGAGTACACACGCATTAAGTAAGTAGTCATACAGTTCGCAAGGAAGCGAACTTGTAATGATTGGTAGGCCGAATGCGTAGGTAATAATTGCGACACGATATTAAACAGATCGGGTGCCAATGACGTACGGCAAACCGCACGCGAAACAAAAGCGTCGTAAAAAAACACCAACGTACGAATCGCGAACGTGCAAGTTATAAAAAGAACACACACACACACAATGCAGAGTTTGTTGTTATTTAAAGCGAGCGAAAATATTGATATCGATAATGACTAATTAGCAGCGTTTTAATAACGTGTGACGTTGTTGCGCTTGAGACCAACCGACGTCTGCCGCGTTTCTGTTTCACTATCGATGTCGCCGATAGCTAGACAACAATATGATAAACTGATATCAGCAACTTGTATCATCATCACTCGGGAACAAAACAGCACGTTTCTAATTATTGCGCAGCTCAAGAATAATGAAACAATTGTGTTTCGTGTCGGTATGCCCAAAAAATTCAGTTACAAGTACAAATAGTTTAGCGCTTCCATTACAACCGATAAAATTCATAGCCTTCTGTAGTTGAAAGCTTCCGGAAAACTCACACACACACGCCAAGAATACAATTTCATGCTCTCTCTTCTCTCTCAGCGGAAGAAAGCATTCATCATGACAATTAGCACTTCCAAGACAACCAGATGCCATACAAATATATGAACTGCGACCGCTCACGGAACTAGCGTCCCAATCCGCTTATCAGCGAGAGTTTTAAAGGTCAAGATTTCGATTGGGATCGCGTTTCGTGAACGGCTGCGCTTCCAGAGGGTTACCACGTAGACAGTTAGACACGTAGTGAATAAAATTTTCATGAAGATGATAGATGAACCTAACAAAATGTTATATAATTGTTATGTGTACACGTTTTAGTACAACCAACACGAAAAGGGAATTAATCTCGGCGTGATTTTTTTGCGTAATTTGTTATTTAATATCGGTTGGTCACGCGATTGCACCGATTGCGGACGAATATAATACTCTACTGTATATTTATCCAACACTTTGATAAATATATTGGTACATGTCTAGACATTACCAGCTGCAAAAAGAGTACGACTAAGATTAATTCAACTCTCGTCAAACATGTTATGAATGATCACTTCACTCTACTAGTAATACTCTGGTAGTAGTACGCTAGTACGGTGAGTGCGTCAAAATTGTGATTTCAATGAAAACTGTGAAACTAATTTACGAATATATTTACTGATTAGCTCGCAACTGTATGCGTATAAATGTCTATAAATGCACTTGTCGCAGATTTACTCCTTTTGTAATTGTGCGGATGCGAAAGAACATTTATTTGTTATTCGATGTTTCACTTATACAAACTGATGATGAGGATGGGAAATTTTACGCGTAACTGTGGATGTTTATAGAGTACCACTGTTATTAGCCACAATGTATGTGTAAATAAATATATTTTATATTTGTGCGATGTGCGGTTGGAAGCAAAAGCAGAAAAAGAAAAAGTGTTTAATCAAATTGTCAACCGCCGTTTGTATCCATTGAATGCGTCGATGACGTCGATGATTTACGTATTAGTATTGATGAATTAATGTAAACTGTAACAAATTATGCTCGATTTCTATTTGATGTACACAATCATTACCTTATACAAAAGAGATACAAAAGCGCTGATTGATTATTTTTTCCGCTTTCCGCGTGTCCGAAAATATTCGGACTCGGCGACGAAGGCGGAGGGGAAAAATCAATTACACTTGGAGAAATTAATTGTACCCAATTGTCGGTGTAATCTCAATTATGTATTGTACAATCAATCAATACGTGTATACACTGCTGGGAACGTTTGGCATGAATTTAGAGGTGAACATGTCAATTGGTGCCAAATGCGAGAATGTGGCTCGTCTCTGCAACCCGATTGTCACTGATAGGAATTGTTTACGAGACGTCTGCGTGCGTTGAGCAACACATTCATGGTCAAAGATATAAATCAAAATGTCTAATATCTATTTTTTGAGATTAGGTTACGAGATTATTGTAATATACGTGTAATATTTTCAGGAATCTTATATGTGAATTGATACTGTAAATGTGAACCGAATAGACCAAACATTACATGAATATAGAGCATAACAATAACCGTTTACTTATTGATAACCTCGTTCATAATTGAAGACGCGCTCATCCACAGGCAGAGTTTTGTGAGAGCGCCGCCATATGTATGCGCTATCAAAGCAAAAAGGGTATTGGGATGGGAAGTTCAAGTTGAAGCCAAGCAGGCGAGAGCTGTCCGCGGAACCCGACGCAATTCTCTCCCTCCTCGAATGATTAATTAATAATGAAAGTATCTAATAATGTGCGCAAACAAAGGACACTCCTCCAGGGGGAATTGCTATGAAATGGTGTGTCCTGTTTGTATCGGCGGACACACACCCGCCAGGCGATTTCCATGGCGACCGGACGTCCGTTTGCAACGCAAACACGACGTTGTTATTCGACGCGAGCCTCTACGCCCGCGAAGTCCTCCTTCTGTTTAACCATGACACCGTAATTATTATCCTAGACCCGCTTGTCGCGTTTGTACACCACACCACGTCAATGGTGTGCGGGGTGTACCTACGTCTAACTTTCCATAAATTATAATGCATGCGGTGGTGTTTTAGTTGTGCGCGAAATATTTTCATTGCCAAAAATGGACGAAATGGAAGGACGATCGCCGTCTCAATGTCAAGGCAGGACGCTGGACGTGCCGCAGTGGTTGAATGAAATTCGAGATAAGTACGTAATAACCACCCACGGTTTAATTGAACATTTATTGAATTAAATTGCATATAGTACACCGACGGATACAGATGACGATCGTTCGGAGTCAACTAGTCGGCGTTCAAGTTTGCTGACCTTCGGCGAAACACCGCACGGATTAGATTTGCCAAACTCGGAGAGTTTAATATTGTCGTAAGTAACCCGCGGTGGAAAAAATCGATGAATTTCGGCAGTGAGTGAATTTATTAATTCGCAGACGTCCGAATTCATCCGCGCGATTTGGAAGGCGAGCGCAACACCAGCAGGAACGCGGAAAACCGCAGAAGAATGCGGAAGTGAATGTGCCACGCGTCGAGAATCAGGATTTACAGGGTAAACGTACAATGCCGAATTGGAGCGATGATAAGCTGGAGAAATCGTGGAAGAGTCTTAGTAAGTTTCAACAGAGCCACAAGGGACGCCTTGATAGTGCCAAAATCTACAATGTCACTGAACGCAAACGATTAAGTGGTAAGTTAAGTCAAGTTAAGTCATCTTTTGCTCAAATTATTATAATAAACTATTATGGAATCAGATCAATTTGATCCAACGCTTTCACCGATATCACCAACGAATTCAACAAATTCCTCGTCGGAGAGCGCGTACAGCCCGTCAATATGTGATCCGGATGTGCCAAACCTAAGAAGCCGAAGTGAAATGTCAACGTATATGCCTCAATATGTCTATTCAAAAATTCGCAAAGCCACAGAACCCGTCAATATGTTATCAGACAATGTGCTCTCGAAAACTATTAATAATTTCAACACGATCAGCAAGTCAAAATCAACCGAAAATATTTTCATGGGCTACAGCGCTAGGACACTAGAAAAGCAAAGCAAAGATTTTCACGGTAGTGAAGAAAGCCTAAACTCTTGCCGACTCAACGACTACAAATTGAAAGTTGCGCGAGAAAATGAACTGCGTCAGCAGATAATTAACGAACTATTACTGGAAAACGAGCAGATTTCTAGCAAGAAAAAACAGGGCAAGTTCCGACGAAAATCCACCGATGAAGTTTTCATTATCCCTGAACTGCCAGCGGGAAAACACCTAAAAGTGACTATTTTGACCACCTGGGGTGATAAATATTACGTGGGCCTCAACGGAATTGAATTATTCGGCGAGGACGGGAAAATTATCCAAGTAGCGAAAGTATGTCACAAAAATACTAAACCAACAAGTTTAATTAATTAATCATGTGCAAATTCGATTGTAGATTACGGCAAGTCCAAGTGATGTGAATGTCCTTCCGGAATGTTGTAATGATCCGCGTGTGGTGACGAATTTATTAGATGGAGTGAATCGCACCCAGGACGATGTTCATCTATGGTTAGCGCCATTCACACTGGGCGAGAATCATGTTATAAATATTGAATTCAAGGAACCTAATGTTATTTCAATGATGCGGTTTTGGGTAATTTAGATAATTTTAGTACACTTCGAGTAAACCTAATGATTTTTTTATAGAATTACAATAAATCTCGGATTCACAGCTATAGAGGTGCGAAAGATGTAGTAATGGAGCTTGATGGGCAAAAAATCTTCGTTGGAGAAATAGCGAAAGCTTGTGGTGGGATTATAGGAGGCGTTGATGCATTCGGCGATGTAAATATTTCAACTAAACTAATATACAACAAAAAACATTTATTTTTCCTTTGCAGACCATACTGTTTACCGTAAATGAAGATATTCTCGAAGCTATATCCCAGAACGACCACGCATATCCCACATTAACATCGGCAAACAATAAAATAAACACCCCCTCAATAACAGAAGAAAGACCTTTGACGTCGGCGCTTACAACAAGCGTAAGTCAATCAATATCAATATACTCGTGGTTATTTATAAAATAAACATCCTTGAAACCATGTTTTTGTGCGTTGTAGAATGGAATAAGGCCGCATACGGGAAGATCTCCTTTCAGGTCAGATTATGTTGAAGATGAATCTGGGGAACAGATACTGTTGGGTTGCAAAAAACTGGATATTGTCTTGATTTCCAACTGGGGTTTTGCGGATGTGATAGGTCTTACAGGGATAGAGATTATAGAAGCCGGGGAGCTGCCAGTGCCTATTAAGGAAGACTATATTCAATGTGACACACCAACTGATCGAATGCTACAACGGAGACTGTTTGCAGAGGAAAATGTGACGACTGATCGGAATAATATGTGGCTCACACAGTGCAAATACGGGGAACATATGAAGATCACATTGAATTTGACAGATTCATCTATATTGCAGGTATGTACTGATGGTACCCTGCTCAGATTCATGATTTGCTTGTAGCAGGACTTCACATTTTCTGTTTTAAAATGTTTTCTCTGAACCCTTGTCCTACATTCTTCACTCAATACGTGACCTACCTGAATTTACTGATTTGATTACCTATTAGGTCTACGAATATGGAACTATAACTCCAATCTGGAAATGACCTACGCGGGAGTTTCCCGACTTAAAATTCTCCTCGATGACCGACCGGTGTCCAACCCCCTGACAAAAGATGCGGTGTTCCTATTACGGAGGGCGCCTGGTAACGTCAACTACGACTTTGTGCAGGAGATCCTCCTCGGCGATAGCAACTCTTTGGTGCACAAAGTCGAGCGCACACCGAGTTTCATCATCTCGAGCAACGCGCATGAGTGTCCCTTGCTTCCCGAGGGTTTTGTTTTGGAAATTGTGGTGTACTCCACATGGGGGGATCAATACTATTGTGGACTGAACGGATTAGTAATATATGACCACAAGGGTCGCAAATTGGTACTGGATGAAAGTAGTAAGTATCATAAACATGAAATATTAAACCAAGATGGTTATTAAAAAAGGGTGTTGTAGATATTTGTGCATACCCGGAAAGTATCAATGTGTTACCAGATGTATCTGGTGATATCCGAACGCCTGACAAGTTAATAGACAACGTCAATGATAACGACGACGGGTTACACTCATGGCTAGCGCCTGTTATACCAAAATCTTTAAACAGGATTTACGTGGTCCTAGACCAACCCGTGATGGTCTCTGTGATTGAATTTTGGAACTATTCAAAGAATCCCAGCCGTGGTATCAAAGAATTCGGTGTAAGTCAATTAAAAACCACAACAACTGCAAACAAATGTTTCCACTAAAATATTTACAGATATTACTGGATGATCTACTCATATACAACGGAATCCTGGATAAATATAGCCCAAGGGACAAATGCAAACATCGAAGCGTAGCTTTTACAGATGATCTCAAAGTCGTAGAGAATGAATCAAACACCTTGATCAAGTAATATTTACTTTTAAGTTAAACGTTTCAGGAATATACTGTTTTTGTTTGTTCTTGTAGACCTAATAGTAATGTGGCAATCAGGACAGCGACCAGTGGTAGCGAACCCAGTGCCGATCCAGCTCTACGACCCTTTACAGCAGTAAGCCCCTTCACTCGCACCTCACAAAGCCAATGAGGCCTTCAGAACCCCGCAACATTTAGTTGTAGCCTACGCTTACGACACAAACTTGTTAATCCTACCTGTAAGCTATACTTAATAAGTAGTAATTGTTACATTGTACATACTTTGCGTTTATATTTTAAACCTACCCTGTTTTTAAATATCGTGATACGTGAAAACAAATAAAAACCTGCACTGTCCTATAAAATAGTTCTAAACTTATCCGAGAGATGGCGAATAGTGTCAAGTTTAAAGTTACCTAGTACCAGTGCAGACGACGAGATGTCGATAGCAATACCGTTTGCAAGCTGAAATATTCCCCGAACGCTACTTTCGTCATCGGCCGTTCCCCATGCACTACCGTCCGCGCAGCGCGCTCCTATATCGTATGCTATATCCGCTCCGGCGTACGCAGCAGCCGCACGCCGCTGAATAATAAAGTGGTTGTGATTCGTGATATAAGGATTTAAATCGAGCGAGCCACATTGCCAACACTTTCGGCATTGGTAAGTGCAAGGCGCGGGCTAGGCTCCGTGTGTGTGTGTGTGTGTCTGTGCATGTTGTATCTGTGGGTTGGTGCGCGCGTCGGCGTGCGTGTGTGTCGTCGTCGTGCGGCGGCAGCAGTGCAGCCGACGCATGGATGAGAGATTATTTCGGCGGTGTGTACGTGAGAAGTTTACATGTGCTCCGCGAAAACACACGTGCTTGTCAAGTCAAATAATATAATAATATCGCGCGTTCGCTGTGTGCGCTCACGTTTGAATCGCGAATGGCGGCGCGCGCCGCGTGATTCTTTTTTTATATTTCAACTGATTTTCTTCATTATTTATTCGATTCTTTTACGTTGTTAAATTTTATTACTCGCGAAACCATCTTCTACACACGACTAGAAGCTGATTATGATTATGATTACTCCCCAGGGAGTATACTAATGATGATAATAATGCATGCGTTTTTATTTGAAGTACTGACACATGCATGACTCATTTTTTATTGTTATTTTTCGAAATTTTGGTATTGTTACAATTGCTTTCATGTGAGAAGACACAGCGATGGTATAGAATGAAATATATATGCTGTGAGACAATGCGCAATTAGAGTTTTGATTCAATTCGCGCTTGCGTCAAAATTTTAATTAGGCTTAAATTGAATCCAAACAGATTATGTGCCACGGCGAAGTGGAGCGCGCAAAAGGCGCCGCGAAGTCTGCCAACACAATGGTGTGTGGCACCGATCGGCGTCGGTGCGCACCCGCGACAAAATTCGGAAATTGCGACCGGCGAGTCCACACCAAAGTACAATTAGCAAACGTGCATGCATGGCTATATGCAAATGTGTTTTTAATGTGGAAAGCGCTGAAAAGCGTTTTTGAAAGCGAGTTGCGTTGTGTCGGCGGGGAGGCCATTCGAAACTTTCGCTTGCGCGCAAAAATTGACGCTCGTTACGCGGTGAGCGGCGCTCTCGCTCGGTTAACATTAGACCTTGGCCCAAGCGACGAGAGCGCGAGTCATCGGGGGCTTCATTTCACTTGACGGTTTTCCATCGCGGCCGCGCGTGTGTTGCGCGATACAAACTGCGTGCACGGTCAGCCCGTCAATTCCAGATATAATATCGTAACATAACGAGCGTTGAGCGTCAGCAACGAGCGCGCACAACGGGCGTCGTTGATGTGTTTTATTTTTATGCAATGCCGACGTAAGCAGGCAATGTCGATAACGTGTGTCACCGACGGTGGCGGCCGTGTCCTTTTTTCTTCTTCTTCTTTCGTGATAAAAGCAGGGGAATAAAAGCTCCGCGGGCGAATTTTTGGCGTTAAGATCAAGTTGCGCGCTGCAATGTGTACGAGCTATACAAAATGCTACCCAGCGGCAGCTGAGTATATCAGTAGGCGAGCCGATTGTAGAGAGAGCGACGCGACCAACGCGCATGTTGTGTAGCTGTAGCACACGCTCGGGCCGTTGCGTCGGCCGCTGCCTGCCTCGCCGGCTGTTCTCATACATCCACAACGTCGGTCCTCGGGTCGGCGTTGCCCGCATGCGAGGCGCAGCGGCGCACAAGGCTGCTTGCTGGCTGCTAGACCCGACCGATACGTGCGGAACGAAACGAAACCGTACAGCCACACCGCACGTAGCTGCCAGGCCGCGCCAGGCAACGCGCAACTCAACGTCGACGGTAATATCGTGGCGTTGCGCTGTGAAGCGTTCGTTTCAACATTCGATGTTTTCTCTAACATTGCGCAGCGGTTTCGAATTGTCGCATATTTCACTCAAAATTTTTTTTATACAAAATTTTATTCAAAACGCTAATAATATCAAAATATCTAATAGAAAATCCGTAGTGATATTTATTTATAATTGTACTTGAATTACATTCACTAAAAATACTCAAAATAAAATCTAATTCAATTCACGTACAATTTGAAATCAGAAAGTTTTTCGTTGTTTAAAGATTTGAACCAAAAATTCCAGCGTCAATACGAATGCGTCGCATAACAGTTACACAGGCGGTAACATCAACATTTTGCCTCGACCGCATCGTAAACGTACACCGGCTTCGCATGCAAGCTGTTCATTCGCCTGTTCTGTTCATCGCGCGCATTTTATGTGCATGTGACCGCGTGCGAGTTGTTTGTCGGCTGCATGGGAAAACGTAAAACGCGCATTTCCATGCAGCGCGCGCGCGAGATCCTCCCCGCCGGAAATCGAAACGACGGTCTTTTTCGTGTGCCGAAATTAATCGGCGCAATCGAATTATCGACGTCGTGACAAATTAAATCCGCTGGCGCGGACCAATCGATACACGTCTGCGAATTTGGCGCAAACTGAAATCTCTCATCGTGTCGAAAATCTTGACCATGAAATTTGACGAAATTTTACGAGCGGTTTGCTTATACCTTCTTTTGTGCTAGGAGTGCACGGTTGCAGCGCCCTTCGGAGTAGCAATGTATTTTTCCATTTCGATGACATTCTCCGAATGTACGCCCCGGCATTGTGACCGCTGCTGTGGGGTGGTACCAAGGGTACCTAGGGTACCCTTTGTGATCGCACGTTTGCGCGCGCCGGCAGAAAGTAACCCGAGTTGTGCACACGGACGGAGGGTTTGGCCCTCCGCATGCAGGCGCATAATCCGACTTGACAAATGCAATATGCAGATGAACACGATGTGCCTGCGATGCCGCCTGGGTGTTTGTCCCTCGGCCCGCGCCGGTTTGCAACGTTTGCTTCAATAATAAATCGCTTATTCATCCCTCGTGCGACTCTCGCTCGCTCAGCGAACTTAAGTAATGCCTGACGTCATCGGTGGGCAATTCGAGTCGAGTCGTTAATTAAAACATCAACTACTACGACTGCTTGTGCAGTCCGATGTGTTGTTTTTTTCTGCGTTGCGGGCGCGCGCGCATTCAAAGTTCCGAATTAAAAATTGAAATGTAGCGCGCACCGATGCAGTAAAAAGTTTCGCGAAAGCGAAGGAAGCGAAAAAAACACACGCCGGCGCGAAAGAATCGAATAGAAAACCGCAGCGAAGTGTAACAAGGACGTCGTTTGGCTCGCTCGGCGCGTTTCGTTCTTGATTCATCGCCGGTTTCACCGTTTCGCGCTCGAGCGTTCCGTGAAAATGACTAATGCGAATGAATTAATAAAAATAAAATAAAATCACACGCGGCGCAGCGGCAGATTTCCAATGCCGCTGGCGTGCGCCTAGTAATGTAAAATCAATGCTGGGCGCGAGAAAAATGGATGTGCATATTCAAATCTTGGCCGGAGCGCCCTAATAGTAGACCTGACGTGGAGAGCGAAAACGCGAGGGATTTGCGACTTCCAAACGCACTGCCTGCTCCTCGCTCGCGGTTCTAGCGCACGACGAAAAGGTCGCTTTCACATGCTCGATCGGCAGCGCGACCGCCGACACTGCCGGCGCATCCTGTCCTGCATAACAGGTACGGACACGGACGATAATTTCGTTGATTGCCTGGCGCGGCGGGCACGTAAGCGCGTAAAAAGCATCGCGCGCGCGCCCGACTCGCCGGTCGGTCGGCGGAGCGATAACAGGAAACGCGGCGCGCGCGCGGCGTTGTCGCGTCTTCGCCGCTACAACCGCCGGCGTAAGCGGCGAGCGCAGGCCGTGTTTTTCGCGCGGCGGGCGCCGTTTGCCGGTCGCCGCCGCGAGGAAAACCCACTCGCCGAATCGCCGGCTGAACGAGCGCGCTTTTCTTCCAGATTCTCCGGGCGGCGCGACAACAACGACGCGGCGGACCGACCGACGTGCGCTAGGGGAAACCATCGAGGGCGCGCTGCTGCTGCCGCCGAGCGGCCGAACTGCGAACGAGCCTAGTAGCCGCGGAGCACGCCAGCGAAACAGTTGCCAGTTAGTGATTCGCCATGGCCTCTGCCAAAGAGACAGCAACATTCTTCACTCACGGCACCAGCACGCAATTCGAGCAAGTTCTCAAGCTGTATCCGCAGGCGCTACGCCTGAAGGCCGAGAGGAAAACGAAGAAGCCGGACGAGCTCGTCAAGCTCGACACTTGGTGAGTGATTTTCTTGAAAATTTTGTGTCATTGAACTCCCCATCGGGCGCTTGCTGCATATCGGAGAGTCGCACGCTGAGTGCAGCCCGGCCACCCTCGCGATATCTTGGCGGTGCGGTCATTAAAATCACGGGCGTCACGTGATATCGGTGACAAGTGCACGGATTTTCGTCCGGTTTCATTTTTCCGCGGACGGTGTGTTTGTTCGTTTGCGACGTTCGCGAAACGCAATGGCTGTTGATGCCATGACGCAAACCTTCGTCGCCGGCGATCGCGTGTGCGTTTTGCACCCGCATTTTGCGATTGCCGACACCGGGGATGAAAAATTTCCACGGTTTCGTCGTGTGCAGTGCGTCGAAACGAGTTTTTACATAAGAGTCGACTCGCAAACTCGGCACACACACAAAATGGTGCCTGCTCAAACAAAGCGAGCGCTGTGGAAATATTCGAGCCGCAATTCAAAAGTGTGCGCGAACCGCCGCTGCCGACCGGCGAAATTTAGTAAACAGACGAATTTTTGAAAAACCGCGCGAGTGATCGCTTTTTAACCATTTCAACTATTATTATCACTCTAATTGAAGCGCTCGAGTGGGGGAATAGGTACTAAACTATCAAGAGCATTCTAGCTCGCCGCTCAGTTCACGTTTTATTCATGCTTGCGTTCGCGGATTTAAAAATTAAAGGAAAACAAATGCAAAGCAAATAAAATAACACACGCTTTGCCTAACGCAGGTATCAAAATGAGTTACCAAAGAGAATCAAGAGCAGAGGCAAGGATGCTCATATGGTGCACGAGGAGCTGGTGCAAACGATGAAATGGAAACAAACACGCGGTAAATTTTACCCGCAGCTGTCCTACTTAGTCAAAGTGAACACCCCGCGAGCCGTCGTCACGGAGACCAAAAAGGCGTTCAGAAAATTGCCCAATCTTGAACAGGCCATCACTGCCCTCTCCAATCTCAAAGGCGTTGGAACAACCATGGCTTCAGGTGAGCGCCGCGCGCCCAAAGACAAAATACCCAACTCAACTAAACCAATTTTGAACTCAACTAACTAACAATTTGAAAATTGCAGCGTTGCTGGCAGCGGCAAGTCCCGAAAGCGCGCCTTTCATGGCCGACGAGTGCCTCATGGCAATTCCAGAGATCGAAGGGATCGACTACACTACCAAGGAATACCTCAAATTTGTAAATCATATTCAAAGCGCCGTCGAACGACTTAACAAATCCAAACCGTCAGACTCGACGGACCTCTGGTCGCCGCACAAGGTTGAGCTGGCCATCTGGACGCATTTTATCGTCACGGACATGCAACCTGAATTGCTCTCTAGTAAGTGTTCACTTTTAAACTGATCACAAATCGAAATTAGTCGCCTTGAAACTAACGCAATATTGTAGCAGTGGGTCTGGAAAATGGCAACTCTATCCCGCCCGTCGTCCACCAGAACGGCGACTCGCTGGACGCGACCACGTCCGACGAGAGCAACCAGGGCCCGCTGAATGGCAAGACCAGCGTCGTCCTCGACGAGGATACCACCTCATTCACCGAGGACAGCATGGACAAGCCGTCGACGCCGATCATCGCCAACGAAGAGACGAACGACAGCATCGTCTCGGAGTCGACGAACGATTCGGCGACCGTCGAATTTAACAAGCGACCCCTCGACGACGACTCCAACTCGGACGATCCGTCATGCAAGAGACTTAAAGATGATATAGGTGATAAGTGACAACTACGATCTATTCCATAACTGTTTTAAGTTGTAAGGTTTATTCTTATTGATTTCTTTATATTTCTTAAGTAAGTTAAAACCAACACACATACACACACAGACACATACACACATTCAACCAAAATGAAGAGAAAACAATTTAGCTATCAGAGAGAGAGATGTGAATGTGGGAGGCCTCATCCTACAAGTCACTTGCAACAACGCACAAGAAATTCAATTCAATTTTAATCACAACTGTCACAAACAAGTAATGCATGCATTTTGGATTTGCTATGTGTGTCTCGAAGTGACTTCGCAACAGATAGATGATAATAATAGTGCCGATTGCAACTGACTTGTCAGAACGCGCGCGCGCTACACACCAACAACCACAACCAGAAAAACTTTGTAAGAACAACCCTTTTCGAGAGGGCGCTATTCAAGGAATTTTACTACAAAACGTCAAGGCTTCGAAAATCAAGCGAAAGCGCAAAGAAAAAACATTGTCTAGAACTAACTTGTGTCGTTTCACGGAGAAATTGCTTTTATTATTCTTATTTTTATACTGCTATCAATTGGATACACACAATCTTTCTTAGAGAAAAGCATATGCAAGACGTTCAAAAAGTATTTTGATAAATAGGTATTTTTATACGATTTTTATGGGTGGAATTAATGACGGCGGACGGCGCTGATTGACGGATTGATCTGTTTCGGGCGTAGCGAACAGCATGATGATGATGATGTAATTTGCCAATTGTTTAATTTTAGTATATTTTGTTTTACGTACGTGATTGTGCTCTCGGCGGGCGCACTTCCGAAAAAAAAAACACTGAGATTATTGAACCCCCAATTTTATGCTATTTATTGCGCTCGCCGCGCGCCGCCTACACGTGTTTCGAATTCGTTTCCTATGAGAGACCGGTAGCGACTTACTGATTGAAAAAAAAAATTGAAATAGAATTGCAAATGATGGAATAATACTTATTTATCAAAAACTACACCAGTTACCAATATTTACTTGAAGTGTTTTTTTATAAACGAGTATCAATTTATTGTAATTGTCACACGAGATGATTAGGATAATCATGTTTTTTTAAGAGTCGACACACAAAAGGAAAATTAAATTATTATTAACTGGAATATCATTCTTGATTTAATTATTATGATTATATATTATATATAGATAATATTCACACACACACACGCAAACGTAAATTTAGGTAATTTATTTTTCTGTTCACATAAATAATTCTATGTTAATAATGCTATTCTATTTGATAATGATGGAAACAAAAATGTATTTACGTTTTCGTATGGCGCGGTTTGGTCGGTGACAGAATTACAACCCCCCGGAGGCGGCACACACACACACACACACATACATACACTACAATATACACACGAGCATTATCCAAATTCGATTTAACTCTCGAACCCCCCGATCATGCGTATTTGTACATTCCACGTTAAGTAGTCGCACAATTATTGGCGATGACGATGACGATTGTATTGTAAATAGCTGTCTTTATGTTACGTTTACGTTGGGCACTTAGATTGCAAGCGAATGTAAAGTGCATCTTGGTTATTGTCAATTTTTCGCATCGACTTGTCGTCGGTATCGTTTTGCGTTCGTTCCTTTATCTCACACACACCACACGCGCGACAACCAACAGCAGCAGTAAGCACCACACACAACCACAGCTAGCAGCTGGCGAATTACGCAGGACAAACAAACCAACAAACCGAAGAAGTAACGAATTGACGGTACAAACGACACACACCAAGCATAGGTTTTAAGTTCGATTGGTTTCTGCGTTTACTTGTACACAAAACAATAGCCTACAGCTTAGATACTTAGAGTACAAATAATCAAACAAACTACTGCAGCATTTGCAAAACAAATAAACATGGAAGCAAAAAACAAACCTAAAAAACAAACTATAGACACAGTGGCGGTCGACGACGAACGTGCCACGTGCGCAAAGTGTAATTTGTCACACTACTGTAATTAAATCGATGATTAATTAATCGAGCAACTGATAACGAACTCACTATTAACTATTATCCTAGGCGAATGATTGTACGTCGGAATTGTATGCGCTGCGCACTAGGCGCGCACCTAATCGGAGCCGATCGACGGTGTGAACATGTTTTTGCAAACACTGAACTAAACAAAACAAAAAATGAAATAAGACAAGAAACAAAACAAGCGCTTGATTTAAAAATGATTGCAACTGATAATTTAATGAATAAATATAAACAAAGTATATTATATATTCTATTATTAAAAAAGTAACGAAAACACAAAAAATATAGCAAAACAAAATGACGATGATGAAATAAAATAATAAAACCACAAAATGAAATTGACGATGACGATGATTAAATGAAACAAATAACTGAATGCCTTTATGAAATAATACTGTAGTATGTATACACTTTTACAAAACTAGTTAGTTTATTTATGATATACATAATACTATTACGATAACATAGCGAAGAAGTGTTATTTTTATCTTAACGAGACAAGAACGACAGGCACGCCGACGAGGATTTTACCTCCTCCCCCCTGTGTTGAGAGAGGCGGCGCGGTGGCGCGAACGAGAGAGCGGAGCGCGCAGGAATGCTTGTGCTTTCCGTTTTACAACCCCCCCCCGAGTATGATTACCGATTTTGTTTGTGCTCTTTTTGGCGAAAATTGGTGCGTTTGCGACGTCTGCAGATGCGAGTTCGTTTGTATATTGTTTGTACCTTTTGTTACATGTGTAAATGTGGTAAGATGCTCGTCGTTTGTAATAATCAATTACTGTAAAATATCATTTGTAGATGAGTTTGAGGTTTTTTGTAGGATATTTTCATAAATATAAATCTTTCACGGCTAATCTCGTCGTCACCGATACATTATTTTCATCATCAGCCCGCAACGCAAGCGCATGTAATCCGTAAGTAAAATAAATATGACTTACCAAAATCAGAAGATAGAAATTAATTCATTTGAAAAATTGTGTTGCAGTATACAGTTCGAACAGGGATTCACTTTCATTCTGCGTAAAACACGGCCAACTTGATGTTTTTATACATAGAACACTATCTTATCCTCACTAACAAGGCATCGCGTTAAAACTGCATGCTTTACCTCTGGTTTTATGCCTGTTTGAATTCAACTGAAGCCGCTTTCTGATTCCTAACCCAATAGACAATAGAACACGACGATAATCAGTTTTTCAGAGAACTTTACAACCGTCACACCACGCACTGTTGTGTAAACTACTGGCACACACGATGCGTCAGGTAATTTCAGTCACAACTAAACGTCTTTGTAAACAACACGGTGTTTTTATTATTAAACCCGCTCGTAGCGATTTGAACTTCAACATGATAAAATTTTTTGCGCGATTCTGATTAGCCGAACCGGTGGCGCCCTCTACCTCAACGCGATTTGAAAAGGGTAGTATGAACAGTTCGAAGAAATTCCGATTGTTACGTGATTGCTATCTAAATTCACGTGTGTTGTTATTGTTCGATGTAATAGACATAATCAAGTAGTGATTACCTTTAATTTGTTGTGATTTCTATGGAAATCGACTGGAATCAAACGTGGAATTTTGTTGCACTTCATCGACGCGCGACGCACAAAAATACAGTGAACAAGTTCGTTGAAACCGACCGCGTTTGACAGGTGCTGCCCCCTATCACAAACCGCGCCATATTTGAGTGAAACATGTTGGATTATCGTTTATTACTAATATTTAGCTATTGTAAGCGCTGGAAATAAATTTAAACAATCAAATTCCGTGCGGTATATCGAAATTAATCAGTAAGGATAACGGGCCAATTTGTGTTCAGTTCGCTGATCCGTATACTGAGGTCATTTTCATAACCTATCAATGGTTGAATTTAAACATAAGTGCATTTGATTTACCATTAAATAGCGTATTATTTTATTGACAATTAATAATTCATAATTCACCATACTTAATTCCTGCTAAATAGTACTGCCCCACTGCGAATAAACACGTTCTATCACGTGCGCTTCATACGATTCCTGCCAATACACTTATTGTGGCAGCAATTCCAGTTGCTGCTCTACATTATGTTTAATAATAATGCATGTATAAAAGTTGTTGGAATTTGTGCATGATACGGTTATTTTGCTTTTTTTTATTGAGGTGTGTTGCTTTAGCGATGGCATAAGCATATTGGAGTTCAAAAACAATTGCTCGCATCAACGCATCCTATCGAATAAAATATGAAAATCTAGTTGACGCCTCTAATGTTACTCTAAATATTTATAAACAATCCTAGGTAATCGTGTGTGTGTGTGTGTACAAATTAAAAACTAATCCATAATGGTTATGTGTTTGCAAACTTTTCGCTTCATTTAAGTAAATTCTTTAAAATTGTTTCTTCGCAAAATCTTAATTTAATTAATTAATAAATGTTAATCGTGAAAATGATTTAAACCTGTGTAATAATCAATTAGCCTGGAATCATTTCGACGTGAATTGTTTACCTTTGATGTCCAGGAAGCATATTTGCACTATTTGTAAAAGCAATCATAAACGAAAAGAGTTTTCAACGTGATTGACAAATAATAAACCAGCTAAAGTAATATCTAAATTATCTAGTGCGGATGGGTGCGAGGCAAATTGCACATGTCGCAGTTCTGCGTCGTCGATGGATTGAGAAATGTGCAGAACGGACACGTCCATTGCGGGCCGTTACCCCCGACTTCCACGCTGCTGCCAACCACACTGCCGGGCCTAGAATAAATGCGCAGATACAAATATAAACACCGAGGCAAAGCAGAATTTTTATTAAAACAAGTAAATGGAATGAATGAATTGATTGATTTGTAGGTACTACCTTGAATTTGGAGGTGAGCTAGCTGCGATGAGCTGCTCCAGTGTGGCCCACGGCTCTGAGCGTGACCATTCTTGGGCCGCATTGGCGTCCTTGTCGCGGATGGCGGCCAACAATTCCGTCATATGGTCGCGCATTGGTAGCATATCCATGGTGCCGATGTACAAGAGCAGGTGGAAGTCGCTGATGGCGGCGAGGAATTCATTGGGTCGAAACTGGGTAAGATATTGTGACAGTGCATTGAAGTCCTGGATGTGTTCATCGATGAGGCGATTTTCGACCGGAAAGGGTTCCTTTTTCTCCATGGGATTGAAAGTGTTGAGAGGGGTTAGCGGTGTGGAGGTAGGTACGTCCAAGAGAAGGTATTCCACGGGCAGCGGACGTGCGAGTCGTGAGACTTCGTTGCCGTACATATCCTTTTCCTGGAAGTGCAAAAAGAAGCGTGGAAAAATCAAAGAAGCTGTAAAATCGATGTGGACGAGCGGCGAGCAGAGCGTGGTGGCCAAGGCGCGCGGAGGCGGTCGGTGGGTCGTCGTTTGCCGGCGGCGTGGGAGTGCGCGGGTCGAAGGAGCGGCGCGCGGCGGTCCTGGCGGGTATTGATTGCGTTTTGAATTGCCCGCGCCGGTGGCGAGAGAGCCGGGCCCCCGCTCGCGGGCGTCGCGCGCGGCCAGCCTCCGGTGACGGCCAAGGTCGCGCGCTTCCACCGCCTCGCGCCCGCCGATCCTCTCGCGCGCCGCGAACGGCGGGCCCGCTCAGTCGTCAACATGATGTGGCACATCGTGTAGCGGCCACCGCAACCATTCGATTTTACATTCAACCAAGAAACAACGCAAAAAAAAAACACACACAGAAAACCCATTTATTTACGTTCACGCCGCCGCTCCGCCGCCGCCGCCGTGGGTCGCGCGGCCGCCCTCGTGTCGTGCTATGCTGTCGCAATTTCGGCCACGCACGTAGCTCCCCAGCCGGGCAGCGTTTCCCTGTCGTTCGCGTCCAGCCATCATCATCATCGCCGCCGCCGCCGTCGTCACCGCAGCCGACACCAGCCGCAGGTAAACCACCGATGAGCTGGAGGCAGCCGCCAGGACGCCGCACGACGCCGGGAGGACGACGCTAGCGGGCCTACACTCTCACCCACTCACACATCGTCGTCGTCGTCGTCGCTCTGGTGGTCGCAGCGAACAACGCGACACACACATTTTCCGACCCTCGAGACTTGCATTTCGTTTTCCTCCGCACCCGACCACCGCGAATCGTCACCGCACGCCGTTTTGTAATCACGCAACGAAGAGTACAAAAAGCGCACTCGCGACCGACCGAGTAAACAACAAATTACAACACTTATCTAACTGAAATCGAACGCGAAAGGAGCGCGCCGCTGAACGACTGGCTTGATTTTCCGCCTGCCTGCGAATCCTTTACACGTCTCCGCAGGCCCAACGATCACACACTTATACATGACCAAGAAGCAAACAAAAAATAATACCACAAATAAACCAAATAAATAAATTTAAAGAAAAGTACGTATATTATAAATATATTTTATCGGATTTTTACTAACTACACTACGAAAAGGCTGTGCTAATCTCACGTTTAAATTAAGAAGAAAACTACACACGAAAAACGAATCATATTTAAATACATTCACACCCGGAAGCGATTTTACTAGTGGACGAGCAGCCCTGGATTATTATTAAAAAGCGATCTAGAACAATAAATCGAACGAAGCCCTAGCGAACAGGACGACGAAACGAGCGCCAAACACGGTAAGCCCAGAAATTCTGGAAATCTATTAGCGTGTGTTGTTGTGTCGGAATGAATGTGTTGCGCGCGGGAAAGGCATCCAGGTGCGTGTGGGTCAGGCATGCGTCCTCACGCACCCGGAAAGACGCGCCGCGCCGCTTTCGTTTTCCGCGCGCCGCGGCGCGCCGCCAAACACCACTTGTCGATCGGCGCCCGCGCGCGCGATAAAATAATCAAGCCGTGCGCGCCGGAAGGCACCGACTGACGCGCTCCTCTCTCGCTAATGAGAGCGGCGGGGGTGGCGCGCGCGGAGGCAGCGATCGCACGAAAGTAGCCACCTGTTACTGTGCCCCAATGCCTCCTCAGTGAGCGCAGTGTCACTGCCACTGCCGCGCGCGCGCGCTCCAATTTATTTATTTGCGGCGCGCGAGTGATACTGAACTTCGACATCACAGCGCGCGGTCGGTCATTTTTCGGCGTTGATTCACGAATCGGTTTTTGTTGTGCGCAACAATGCGCGCGGCCGCGTGCGGCTGCGGCTCCTCGCGGAAAACATCACGGCGCGTATTTTTAGTGCTGCGCGATAACGCAGGCGAAATTCGGCTGGCGACGAGCACGAATGGAGCACATCATTTACTCGCTGGCGCGGCGCACGCTACTTACTACTACGACGCCTGACCTCGAAATCGCAGTTTATGCAATAGAGCGCTCGTTAATGTAGCGTGTGTATGTATGTTTATACGTTTTGTTTTTTGTTTGTTTATATTCGTATCTAATGTTCGCTCATGGCGCGCGCGCGCGCTGTTTTATTCTGATTTCCGAAGCTTGTGATGATGACCGACCGATGGTGTGCCATTACTCATCCTCCCCCTTTTTTTTTGCATGTTCCAGACGTGTTATTTCTTCAAAACGCAACTTCAATCAAACACACAACCAGCGGCCCGGAGCGAAAAGTATGGATTCCTCCGAATTGGAAGATCTGATCCTCTGCGACTACTGCAAGCAGTCCTTCAACGACCAGGAGCAGACACCGAAACTACTCAGCTGCAAGCATCACTTCTGCCTAAAGTGCATCCGGTCTTCTCTGAGCAAAGGCCAGGAGATCTACTGCGTGCATTGCTGGAAGCGCACCGAGGTCGGGGATCTCGGCGCGGAAACACTACCCACCTACACGGCCATATTATACCTCTCGAAGAACTTCACCCAGATGAAACACAACCACGCGATGAAGCTCAACGACAACACGAAGTCGGTGCAGTCGGCCACCGGGCAGACGACGACCGCTGGAAAGCTACTCTCGGAGAACTGCCACACTCATGCGATGCCCCTTGCTCTCTGGTGTCAGACCTGCTGCGTACCTCTGTGCAGGGCCTGCGCCACCGCCAGTGATCACACTAGTCACCAGATCAAGTCGCAGAACGATACCAAGGAGCAGCTCATGGTTGAGCTGCAGAATGAACTACAGTCGATGAGTAAACTTCTCAATGAAACGCAACGACTAGCCGCCCAGCAACGAGAATTCCTGCTGAAAATTCTCGAGGCGTGCATCACGTTAAAGACACATGTGGAGGCGGATCTCACCAATAACGCCACGCATGTGGAACTGAACGATACCAGGGACCTATTGGGCAAGTTCCGCATGAATCTTTCATTAACCGATAGTTTGGTGGATGTGCAAAGTCTATGCGCTAGTTTAGGGGCTGAGAAGCAACGCCTGCAGGTAAGGTACCAGGAGATGTACATGCAGTGCCAGCTGGACGACCTAATTCGCAACTCGACGGTAGTCTTCGACTTTCAATTGTTGAAGCAGGCCCTGGCGAATATACAAAACGGGGAGCTGCCGTACACGGGTGGGCGTTGCGTTGCTGGCCAACAAAACCCCATCTTGTTCCTGGCGAATTACTGCATGTCGCAACTGTACTCACGACATGTGGTGAGTAAGCAGTTGAATGGTAACGTCGAATACCATCAACCACCTCCGAATCAGTCGGCGACTAGCTACCTCAGCCCTATGCCACAACAACACCACGTGGTGTTGCCACCCGGTGGGAAATCCTACGACGCGTTGGTATCTAGTCATCATTCACCCGTACCATTACAACGCGCGCCCGCGAACGTCTGCCCGCTGTTTTACTTCAACATCGAAGTGAATGGTGCGCCCATGGGTCGTGTGGTCATCGAAGTGCGCGCGGACGTAGCGCCCAAGATGGCGAAAAATTTCAGTATGCTCGCGACCGGCGAACAGGGCATGGGCTACAAGGGCTGTTCCATCTTTCAATGCTGGGAGGGTGAGAGTGTAATCACGGGGGACTTCGAGTTGAACAACGGACGCGGCGGGCGCAGTGTGTTTGAAGAATCCTTCTTTCTACCGGACGATACGAAACTGCTCGCTGTGCGCGGCACGGTGGGCATGCGACGGACGCAGAAACGCCACGACAACCTCGGCATGGTCGGCTCACAGTTCCGCGTCATCCTGCAAGAGATGCGCGGCTTCACCGGTATCTTCGGCCACGTCGTCGAAGGCATCGAGCTGGTGGAGAAGATCAGTACTTACGGCGACACGGCCGGCAAGCCAACGAAGAGCATTCTCATCGCGAAATGCGGCAAGTTATAATGAGTTTCATTAGCATAAACACTACACATCACAAGTTTTACTACAACTACATCCGAAACGCACCGAAAACGTAGCGTTGCTCGAAAATCGAAATTTATCATGTTTAACGAACCGAATTTCCGAGACATACAAAGAGAAAAACTCACTGAAACACACAACTGAAACGCGAAAACCCCAAAAAAGCGCCCGGTGCTTCGTTATTTAAGAGAGAACAAAACGGAAAAATCAACTTTTACACAGCCACACGAATCGAACACAACCAATTGATAACCACTTGAACGTACAAAGTTAAAAAAAATACATAATTATTGGATAATGAGATAAATGTTCTATGAATAAGTGTAGCTTTTGAGCAAAAAACTGCTATCTTAATACCGTCTATTATTGTTAGCTTTGACAGAGAATCTATATTAACTTCGAGTGGTGATTACAGCGCGCGCATCGCATCGCATTTGCATTTGCAAGATGATAAACTATTTTCTTAACGACAAACACAAATGCAAACAATCGTGTTTTAATCGTAAATTAATTCGTGTAAAAAAACAAATATATAATAACGAATCTAGCTATAGGATGATACCGAATGGCAAAAAAATAAAAACCCACAAAGCACACAAAACGCGTTTTTTGAGATCGGAAATGCGGCGCAACTTGTATCGAATCAAAGCGGCTGCTAATTGTGAGTGAATTTTCCGAACGTTACGCTTAAAATGTTTGCTGTGAGGGCGCGAGCGCGGAATGTAACACTTTCGTTGACACACGTTCGTCCTATAATATTTGGGCGCAGAGCCGCGCGAACATGTCGCTTTAAAACTAATTGTATGTGTTTGCGAGAGACGCCTAGAGTATTATTAAACAATCGCTGTTAATGTTTAGAAAAATCGACACCCGGCGAAATATATTAAATGAAACACGTTCACGTTCACGACTATTTCGTTTCGGTCTCAAACCAGAAGATACGTACCGTACCTATTTTTCCAAAAAATGGACGACGACACGACGACTCTAAAATTAATTCTTAACTAACACGTAAACAAGAAGATGAAAAAAAAACACGCGAACCGTTCACATTTTTATTGTACCAAAGAAGCAGCAAGCGAGAGAAATTCGTTCGCGAAAACAAACAAACAATACACGATCGATAACGTTGAACAATATCTAAATGGCCTATTAGGAAACTGTACTACTAACCGAACGCTTCGTAATCGTAGTTCCTCAACGAACAAAAAAAATGAGCAACCAAAAATAAAAAAAACTATATTAAAAAAACGTTTAGATTGATTGCGACGAATAACGTGTGTGAATATGCATCGGAATCTATTTTTTTATGTCAGAAGTGACACACTTGAGAACTAAGAAGCGATGAATCGATTCACCAAATAGAGAGACCTATATTTAATATAAATTATATCGTGGCGTTACTACTGTTTAGTGTTGATATATTTTATTCGCTGTTATAAAGTTGATGTTAAGTTCGTGCTTGAGGGAGAGAACGAAATAAATTTGTACACGTACGCACACACAACCAGCAAATACACGAAAAACCCAAAGTTTAGAAACAATTGGAAACGAACAATACACACATTCACAGGATGACGATTTTTCATCGCTGTTAGATGAACAAAAAACCCTGGCGAGCAAATTTGATGTAATCCTCCAACACTTATTGCGTGAAAATAATAGAATGATGTGTATTGGAACGCGTTGATTTAGCACCCGACGAAGATTTATATAATTAGTCTAATTCTAAACTAACTTAGGTTTTAATCAAAATGTGAAGCAAAGATAATACATCAACAAACGAACCTATACCAAAAAAAAGAACACTCTCACAACTGACGGAACCAGTATTCTAACGTGCGATTTTTCGTTGTGTAGACACGAGACACACGCGCACGATTTGCACAGTTCTAATTTTAAGATGCGAAAGTGGAAGAAACCAAAAAAGAAACTCATCTGAGAAACTTTATTTTCCTATACGAGACGCGTAAATTATACATTATGTATTTTTCTATGAATTTAGTTCTTATTCTAAGACTCGTCGGAATCGCGAAACGTGCAAACCAAAAACAAAACAAATCGAAATTGTACGATATTGATCGATTGATCGCCACACGGGTTGGTGACAATCAACCAACGGTGGTCGCGGCGGCAGGCATCAAGGTAGTTCGAACCCTATTCAACGAAAAACGCGCGCCTCGATATAATAATAATAATAGAAAACTCATATACGAGATGTGCTTTCGCAGAAAAAAATACAAAAATATCTAACACTTGTACACACCAATGGCTTTTCTTCGTTCGCGGAATCAACCATCCCTTATTTGTGCCTTACGTGTGAACCCCATTCGCAGTTGATTGTCGCTTGCACCGGAAGTCATCCCCCAATCGAATATTCGAATTCGTTCGTAAACAGAGCAGACAAATCGATAATAAGCACTCGCGCGCGCGCTCCCTCCGCCAGCACACCATGCGTTAATGAGTTTTTCGCGCCGCTTAGATGCCAATAATAACCGAAAATAATCTCATTAGTGATAGCGTTTTATTGGAAGGCGCCCAATCATTAGGCGGCAACCGTTCGACGGACGCGTAGCATTTAATTACGAACACGTACGCAAAACGAAACGAATCGAATCGACGACCTCTCTTATACTCTCCTCCTCTCCCTGTTTGATTAACACTTTTGAAACTTCTTCTGCGGTTGGCTCTCGCCGAAGGAGAGCTTTGGCGATTTTTTCTCGACAACGTGCTGTGTTTGAGCGGACCCCAAGGAATACAACAAGTACCTGTTTCTAATCTATATGAATGTATCGATGTTAATCTTACGAAAAAAAAACAACCCAAAATGTATGTATGTAAATTGTAACTTGTGCAACAAATATATAAAAAGAATATTTAACTGGCGCGCCGATTAATTTCTACTCTTTTTTGCAAAATCGACGACGCATCGAATGAGATTCTGCGATCGAACGAGAAAGGATTGCGCATAGATGTGCCAATAAAAGTCGCGTTCGAATCGGCGATAATGCGATAAGCAGTTCTCATTTCCAGCAGCGCCGCATTGCGTTCCTAACTTTCGGCCTCGAATGCGCGCAGATCTGCGAATTAAAGCGTTGACACAACGACGACAGCGCACGAAATAAACAGAAAAAACAATTTTCAAACACTGTAAACAGGAACATATCAAAGACTCACTTGTACATTTTTTCGAAAAACTAGGCGAACGCAAAGCGAACACATTTCTGTACGGAACCGATCAAGACTCATGTCTTTTTGAGCAAAAGTTTCAATACCAACAAAACATAAATAAGCGATAGGCCCTAGATAGCGTGCTAGTCATGTAGAAATTGAAGAAATGTATTTTTGTCTGTGTGTATTGCAAAATGAAAACATACAAAAACCAAGATCAAATAAAAAACACTAACGATTCATGACGATTTGAATAATAAAAAAACAGAACAAGATTACTGAATGAACTATTTCATTTCGCATCCTTCAGTCCCCTGAGCAAACTCACATGCATGATCAAGTTTCTTCAACCAGTAGTTATTATAATCAAAATTAACGACATCACCAACAATTTGCAGCGTTTGTGGAGTGTGGCAAAGTAAGTATAGTAGATAGAATAGAAATAGAAATACACTTACCTTATAGTAGACGTCCGGCACATATTGCTTGTCACTGGATTCCTTAATGTAGCCCAATTCGGGTGCATCTTTAGTTGGGATGAAGCACGCATCGCGTACCAACGCCATGCATTGATTTGACACCTGGTAGCCTTCCATATGGATCTGATTTGTCTTGTCACCTGTAAACAAACGAAAATTGCAGATTTTCGACAAGGAAAACAATAAAAAAAATACTAATCTCAGCATTTTTACACAAAATTTATCTCAACTACCCCAGAAAAATAAAATAAAATAATTAACTTACCGGTAACACAAACTGTAACGAATTTAGAACCAAATGTTCCGCTGGAAGAGTACTTGCACGGATTGGGATGCATGGTCTGGTAATGCCCAGCCATGTAACACTCCTGCGCGGAAAGGAAATAAGTATCCACATGACGTGTATGTTTTACAGTGCCTTTCTGAACATCCTCGGCGATCAAATCGGTGAAAATCCATCCGACTGGTTGCAAACCAAGTCCATCCGCAAGTTGCTTGACAAAATCTTCTCGGTCGTCTTTCAGTAGTCGTATCGAATCGCGTGTGCTTTCCTGCGGTGGTTCGTAGATGGCTGATACCACAGTTCTGATGCCAAGAGGCACATCGGCATGCACTTCGTATTTGCCATACAGCAGCCCTACGCGCTGATGGCTAGTCAAGCGCCAGTAGCTTAGAAAGCGTTCGACGAGACGCGCATTTTCGAACTGTACGTTGTCTACGTGCCGATACACTTGCCGATTGAGTGTGACAGCATTCGGTTGGCACTTCGAGCAAATACCTTTCGGCCACGGTAGATGTTCCTTGCAGCCAGGGCGAATTCCGCACTTCAGATCTTCCAAAGCGAGGAATTTACCTTGATCAGCGCCGGATGTCATCTTGCGAAGGAAGCTATGAAATGACAGATGCTTGATTTTCTGTTCGCGTAAGTATGTCTCGTCGTATGGTTCCAGTGGCGAACAATGAAAGCAGCGTGCATTTGTGTTGTGACGGCAGAGCTTCTCGTCACGCTTCCGTTCGATTTTCCCGTCCATCTTCGCCAACTGCGCGTCCACCTCATCCTCTACAACTCCAGTATTCATTGAAACCTAAAATATATGTAAAATTATCATAATTGAACATAATATAGATTTGAAATTTAAATTTGTGTGTCATGCTTACAGCTGCTGGTGGATTATTGGTTATGGATAATTCCTCAAAAAGGATAACACCATCTTTGGGCTGAAGATATAGTAAATCTCCATGGTGGAGCCCAAAGTGTTTCAAGGTCCTGGAGACTGTTCTTGTGATTTGTGAATTGCCATCTTTTTCTAGACATAACTGAAAGGCTTGGGTGTTAAGTTGAAAACTAGAGCGGACACGGTCATACAACTCTTCTGTGGTGGCTGATTGCGGCAACAAGATACGTTTGTTGCCCTCCGATGATTGTATTCGTATAGTCTGCAAAGCAGAGAGCGGTTGAAATTTAGCACTAGTCATCTAGATGTGTAGAGGTTATGTGACAATGACATAAAGGAAAATGCTAGGACTGGAATGGACGCCGGGCGGAGAGCACCGCGGCGCCGAACTTACGATGTGTTTCTCTGAAGACATAATAGACACCGACGCGACGCCGATTTTATTCACATTTGCCGCGTTGTTTGTGTGGAATAACTGCGGTCTCTCTACGGGCCTGTGCAAAGAGCGACAGGCGACGGATGGTTGGACATCACCTGGGGACCCTAAATGAAACAGATGTTTCGGACGAGTTCTTGAACGGGTTTCAAAACGTTGTGGAATATGATTCAAACGACTGCAATTTGGCGTATCATGGTGCAATTAGATGATTTTGACCAATCCGCGCGCGTGGGGACATTCATTTGAATAAATGTCTTGTCTAACACGTATAACTATAACAAAAACACAAAGAAATGATAATTGTTTTGTTTGGTTCCTGTTAGGTTACTTTTTAAACATCTTCAAAGCAAATCAAATTGATTGTACATTGTTTGACATTTCATGAACTTCAAAACTTGACTACATTACTACGCAACCTTGTTAACATCGCAGGTGAAGACAATTTGATTGTCTTATTAAAATATAACTAATAATGAGATTTAACTTCTAATGATCATATTCTTTCTTTTCCTGCCTATAAATCTGGGTAAATACTACTTAAATTGCGAACTTATGTAAATATTATTGTTAATTCAACAATATTCTGTTTTAATAGCATTGGAATAAATATTTATCACCCTTTGAGTGTAAAATGGTTAGAATCTTCTCTTGCAATCAATTGAAATCAAATATATTTAAAATTTTACTGCATACGTCCTTATGTATCTATGAAGCCGTCAAAGACGTTTAACTTCAACTGATTTTGTCCCCAAAACTTCAAAAAGTAGTTTTCTGATATTGACAGCTAAAACTGCAATTATAAGCAGAAATTGTTTCAAGATTCGTCCAAATTTTGCGGAATCGGCATGCCTTTTGGTTACTGATTAATTTAAAAGCAATAATATTAATCATGCAAACGCATATTTCCAGAAACTTGTTAATTCTACAAATTCTCAAAGCTTGTTGTTTAAAAATTGATAAAAATCTGCGAATACCACAGAAATTGACACAAAAGGTGCAAGTGGACTAGGATTTTGGAACGACAGGTGAACAAAACACAACATCCGAATATATATTAATAAAACGAAGAAGAATTCAACCATTTGTACCTGAAAAGCATATGTCAAACAAATCGTTCCTTGATTCATTTGGCAATTCATCATAATATTCATATCCATCCAATTTTTGTCTCATGCCCATCGTAACCATGCTGAAATATAAGCTCTTTCTTTGGTTAAAGTAGAAAAATATATCTATTTTCTCATTTTTACATTAGTTAATCTTGCATTTCATGACTACTATTACACAAGCACTGTGAGCTTGGAAACATTTTAAATTACAGTGAATTATAACACAGCATGCATGACTTTAAAACTTGAAATCTTGTAGTCCACTGTTGACCCCTTGTCTAATATATTTCGCTCAACATTAATGAATTTTTGACAATATCTCAACATTTCTTCGACAATACTCAATAAAATTACGAAAAAATCATGAATCATGATTCCTAGCATGCATTACACCTGACAAAATTGACTATCAATCATAACTAAGACACATTGCAAAATGGCAGTGTTTAATTTAACAAAATTAGTATATTACAAAAGACAATAACAAAATCTCCAGTTAGTTACCATCACGGTGTGGAGCAAATATAAACAAATTTACTTGGTTCTAGGAGTGACCATATTAGGCACCCACTTTTCTTCACCATCTTCACCTATAATTTTGTCCAAGCTGACTCTTAAATCAATAAACTGGCAATAACGCTCATCGAGATAGGGAGTCAGGTAAATGTTCCCTCCTTTGACTTCCACAGCAAGATCGTTAGTGCAAAGCACCTGAAAACACGAACTACAGTTGCACCTAATTCAAATGTGGATGTAAGTATCAGGGACGTACAGGAAACTTGGCAATGACAGCGAGCACTTTAATGCTCTGGAAAAACTTAGTCATTACTGGAATATCCATGTAATCGGGCACATCATCCACTGTATCCTTGAAGAATACCTGTATACCGTCAATTACCACCAGGCCAAGCTGTTAAAACAATAATTATTTACAAAATTATCATTTTCTGACACTTTTTGCCTAAAATCGCAAAAAAGTTACCTGACCAAGTTGAATCCTTTGGAAGCATGCTTGTTACAAGAATAAACACATTTTTAACTTAAGATTAACTTTAATAAGCTGTGCATGGTGAAGACTTACCTTGTGTATATTAATATGATATACTTTGATTGCATTGTAGGCAGAAATCAACCCATCAAGTTTGTGGATATCATAAACTTTAACGCGGCGTTGAACAAGTTCTGGGTTCTTGCCATAACCCTTCACCAAGTCAACAACTGCCTCCTCAGAAAAAGTACCCTTTGTTGTAAAGTAGACGATATGATAATCGCGTGTAGTGCACAATAACTTTGCAATAATCTTAAAGCTATAAAACCCAGAGTAAGTTGATACCAATACCTTACAATGACAACCTACCAGAGTGGAGTTTTATTGTGGTTTGACTGAGACACAAACTCAGTGATGGTGTAAGGCCACAAACCTTGGATGTACGGATCGGTATCTAGCTCGGGCATGGTGGTCGACACAGGCACGATGTTTATGCGAGCGCGTAAGATACTGGTGGCGGCACGCATTTGCACCTGAGCTTCTTCGTCGTCCAAGTCAGGGGTAGTGACGGCGTAGGGACTCCGCCTGCTTCTCAGCGAAACTCGTGCGAGATTTGGTGTGCTTGTTGCACGATGAGATCTTTCGAGGGAGGGCAGCTGAGATAATATGGGCGATGCATGTCGGTTTCAATTTGATAATATTCTTGGGTCCTTCTGCAACTGCGGAGACATTGGGGTGGCAAGCACAAATGACATTTACAGCCGATTACAGCCTTGTTATTTATTATTGTTGTTTGGGTACTTCTAGGGAATTTATGTGTAGACAACTTAAGAATAAGCTGATAAGGAAAAGAATTGATAACATTTATGTTATAAATCCTTAGTAATTGTTGGTTAATTTAGAAAGTGACTGATGTTTTTGCTTTTTCTGTTTTGGACCGAGTTAAAAAAATTACGTATATAAATAAAATTGTAATGTTGGTTGCCTATGTCTACTACAAATATGACAATAAATTTGCACCGATCGACAAAAATAGCAAAAATGAAACCGAAATAATATTTGAACGTAATATTTTGCGCCGAGAGCAAACATTAAAGGTAATATTAACAATTGTTGATACTTAGGAGTGATTTAGCTTTTAAATTTGCTAAGATTGTACTTACATTCTCCTGGAGAAGCGGAGCGATCGGAGTGAAAATCAGGAATGACAGTTTTCCACAGCTTCACTTTGTAAACAGCTTTTGTTTCGATATTTTTAGGGATTTTTGATCGAAGCGACCTAAAATTTAATTAACATATTAACTTCTTCTTTGATTTAATTCAATTTAAAGTTTCTGTCCTTGGTTGAAAATTGAAAGTTAAATAAGTAAGTTATATTTGAAAATAATTTAGGTGTAATAGTGGTTGCCTACGTTAACCCTATAACTGTTTATAAATTGCGCTAATTAATTAAAATTACGCAAAATGCGCGTATAAAAACTAACATTTTCACATAATATATGAATCTCTAATTTTATATTATTGATTTTAGCGATAATACTAAAGGAATGTTGATTTAAAAAAGCCGACGTGAAAACATGCACCGCCATAATTAAACGTCGCGTAAAACAAGTAAAAATAATTACAAAATTAGTATGCATCACACATGCATTGCTTAAGGTTGTAATCATCATTTATCGCCGCGTTGAATGGCTTAATAAACAATTTCTGACATTGAATTTCCAACTTGGAAGCATTCATCAACCTTACATACTAGTTTAACAGGACAAATTTGGTTGAAGCTTTCAACCTCGAATTGATCACAACCAGAATAAAATAAAACTCTTCTACAGATTTACATAATAACATAATATAATAACAATAAAGTTTCTTATCATTTTATGGTTTTTCTGTTTGATTATGTGACGCGCACGACCATTTGACGCAAGAAAACACCGACCACATTACTAAAGCATTTATTTTAACATAAAATAACTTACTGTATGATTACACAAAAAAATGTGGTGTTATCACAGCAATTCACTTGTTGGTTTCAGTTTTGGACGTGTGTTTGTTTGTTTTCTTTATAATACTAACACTTTGGTTTTCGCAGGTTGCAGAAATTTAATCGAGCGGCAATAAATAAATATTTGTTCGAAGCATTGTCTTTCTTGTTTAGAAAATCGCAAACTTGGCGTAGGTCATGTCGAGGGTGAGATTCTCGAACATGTAGTGCGCAATCATCGCCGCAATGATGATGCCGAAGAGGCAGTTCTTGAGGAAGTTGACGCACTGCTCGCGCACGGTGTCGGCTAGGCCCGCAACCGGCCGCATGCTGCCGCCCAGCTTCCAGATGCAACACACCGACGCTAATCTGTGTTTTATAAATAAACTGTCAGGCGTAATCGCAGACGATTACATTGTGTCAACTTACCCGGGAACGCGTTGCACAATCGGCGTGCGAAGGTTATGACGGAATAAAATCGATGCACAATGCAGTTGCGACTGCACTTGCACTTGCCCCAATGAAGATGCGAGCCGGTTCTTCGGGTCGCTGTACCGGCGATGCGTGGCGAGGCGCAGGTTGTGTGCGTTGTTTTTTTCTCAACTGACAAGACGGTAGTAAACTTGGAGGCGTCGATTGCCTGGCGAAGGACGCTGGATTCAAGAAGGGTCGACGTGCGTAGAAAACGTGCGCTTCCACCAACCCTCACGTTTGCGCCCCTTTAGTCAAGCTCTGAACCTTTTTCTACCTGCGTCACATGTAAATTCAACTAAATATTTACGCAACTTTTAAAAATTTAGATCTTTACCTCTGTACAACTGACAGGAAACTAGTCAAAAACAATTTTAAGTGGGTACTAAATTCGTTGTTAAATAATAACTTTTCTCACGAATTGTCTCACTATTCTTTTAAATCTTGTGAACTTGTTACTATGGTCGCGGTAGATGCTTGTGTGCTTCGAGTCGAAAATCTATTTGTGTACTTCGAATCGGAGTTGGGTTTCGAGAAGGAACGTCAGCGCTGATGCGAAAATAGATTCGACCAAATTGTGAGAAGCAAATCTTTGCTTAACATGTGTTTTTTCGGTTGCAATTGGTTATAAAACGCTAAAAGTCTAGACTGGGTGCAAAAACGGCCGCTTTCTATGCGCAAATCGAACATTTTTGACTTCAAACATCACAACACATTCGAAATCAATGTTTTGCAATGAATTTTTCTGATAATAATGAGTTTTAAAGTCAAAAAAGTGCGAATTTTGGCAAATAGACAAAGGTTTTTTCAATTTTTTTCATAGTTAAACATGAAACTAATTATCATAGAAAATTCTAGTTCAAAATTTGCGTTTAACAGCAATTACACCAAAACAAGTATTATTACGAACTTATCATGACCCAATTAAAGAGGAATTTACTTAAATACAAAGTGTACCCGATGAGATTTTGCAATAAAACATATTTTTCCATGAATTTTCTGTATTCCTTTCTCAATACGTTTCCCAAGCCAAAAACTATAAATACCATTTAAAAAACAAGCGTTTCACCACCAATAAATCATTTAAATGCATATCCAATACTTGTACCAGACAAAAATCAACTGTATATATCAGCCAAATTTTACTTGTCTTAATTACAATAGTATTTATAGTTATTATTTTTACAGTGGGAAATTTAAAAAATGCAAAGCCGAAAATTCGTGGGTAGCTAGCCATAATTTATAGCTCGCGCACTCGAAGGTAAATATTCACATTTAAATATGGCACCCAGGTGAATGTCGCAAGAAGATTCATCGTGCGATAACAGCAATTTTGATTATTACCGAGGAGAAAAATAATTTACGAGTACATTACGCTGATTATCGCTCGAGGTGTAAAGCAAACAATTTGGTTCAATTCGGGTTTTAATTTTGAACACTACTGAAGTTTTTTTTTTAAATTTAATTAAATTAATAATAATGCGGTGGAGATTTGGTTGTGGTTACCTCCTTGGAGGTTTATTGATGATTTTGAGTTTGCATTCCAACGATGCATTGCAACTCAAGTCGGGATACTACGAGAAAGCTGCGTTGGAGTTGAAGTCTTTGATCGGTGACATGTTACAAGAAGATTTTCGACTTTTAGGTGAGTAATTCTCTTTGAAAACAAGCAGAATTTATAAAATATGATTTATTTTACGCGTAGATTTGAAAAGTATGCTGGATAATGGCTTGCATTGCACAGCCTGTACTTTAGTCACCGAAATCATCAACGATAAACGCTCGTATTTAAAATTTAACCGACGTTATATGGATATATTGCTTCGTGGTGCATGCTCGGTACTTCAATCAGCAAATTTGATGTCTGCTTATGAATGTAATGGATTAGTAAATGTTTATTCTGTAAGTTTTCTAAAATTAGCAATTTAAAAACTCAAAATTCATATAAAATATTTTTATATATTTTCAGGATACTGTTCTATATTTGATCAATAATCTAAATGATACTAGAATGATTTGTCCAATATTATTCCAACCCTATTCGTGTACAGACGTTCAGAAACCTGAATATTCAATCAGTATCAACACGGATTCACCGAAACCGAAACGTGCATCGAGTTTCAAAGATGGTGCGCAATTGCGTTTCCTGCAGATTACCGACGTTCACTTTGATCCTACCTACAAACCGGGGAGTAATGCCAAATGCATGGAGCATTTGTGTTGTATGTCAAGCAGTGGAAGAGCTGACAATGCAGCTGACCGGGCTGGATATTGGACTGATTATCGGGATTGTGATGTTCCGGATTATTTCATTGAGGACACATTTGACCATATTTCAAAAAATGAAGTAGCTATATTAATCAACTACTTTTTTCAATTCAATTTTGTTGTGTTTTTTTTTATAGAAATTTGATTATATCTACTTTACTGGTGATATTATCTACCATAAATTATGGGCAACTTCAAAAACCATGAATTTAAGAGACATTTATCACTTTTGGAGGATGTTTAAAGATGCTTTTGGCCCTACCAAAGTATTTCCCATTTTGGGTAATCATGAGGTACACCCTTGTAATCTCTACCCACCGGAATACATGAACAAAGGCAAATTTTCAATTCAATGGTTATTTAACGCCACAGCTGAATTCTGGAAGGATTTCCTACCTGCAGAAGCTTTGGAAACAGTGCGCAAAGGAGGATACTATTCAGTTAGTCCCAAGGAAGGTTTCAGAGTTATTGCTATCAACAGCAATATTGGATACTATTACAATTTGTAAGGTTCTTTAAATTAATTAAAAATAACACTCACCGAATCTATTTTTTAAGTTGGCTAGTTCTCGATGATCAAGACCCTTATGGCCAGCTGCAGTGGCTCAGCGATGAACTCCAGAAAGCCGAGGATAACAACGAGGTAGTCCACATTCTGAGTCATGTCACTGCAGGTACAGAAATGGCCAGTTCATGGGCCGAGCAGCTCCGGTTGATCATTCGTAGATATCACAATGTTATCGGTGGAATCTTCAATGGCCACACACATATTGATGAGTTTAATCTGTATTACGCTTTTGATGGTAAACCAATCTCAGTTGCACATAATGGAGGTAGTCTAACACCTTATAGTGACGTCAATCCGAATTATAAAATTTACACTGTGGATCCCACCAATTTTGTAAGTTAAAATTTTATTCAATCAAAAATTTGTATTTAAAAATTTTATGGTCCCAAACAGGAAATTTTTGATTTTGAAACATATATGGTAAACCTAACTGAAGCCAACCGTAACTGGAGGGAACGTCCCCGCTGGCAGAAACAATACTCTCTTCGAAGTGAATATGATCTGCAAGATGCCTCACCAGAAAGCATGCATCTGCTAACAAAACGCCTAGCCAGGGACGCCGAATTGAGGGAACTGTACTACCAAAATTCCGTACGCTACGGAACACCTTCACTGGCAAACGGATGCGATAAGGACTGTCAAACCAAGCTGGTGTGTAATATTGTCAACACAGTCAACTCGGATACATCCTACTGTGACCAGCTGCAGAAACAGATGGAGTATAAAGAACATGCAAAGAAATAGTAAATATCCACCAAGCAAACACACCTACCATCAAACAAATATCACCTAATGCGGTTGTTGTACCCGTTGTATGAAATAAATTGTTTGGTGCTTTCGTCAACAAATATTTTATTTAGTTTTTCATTAAAAAAGTAATAAGTAAATTTGATACAATCTAAAACTAGATAACAATGTGCATCATCATGCAAGTGTGGAGTAGATTCTCAAAACAAAAATCAACAAATTTGGCCCCTGCGTGTGCAGCAAGTGAAAAACAGAAGTTTAAACAGTTTAAACAGAGTTTAGTAGTCTTCGTCACCGAACTGTCGGCGAATTCGTTCAACGCGTGGATGTCTACGATAGTTTCCACCATGTGGCCCGCTGAGCGCGGCCTTTTTACGTCCTTCTTCACCACCGATGAATTCTACATCTGAATCAACCAGATGTCCACGTTTGTATCTGCTGTTCTGAGAGGAAGAGGAAGTGATTGGGGCAAGTGGAATCTCTGGTTCGGCATATTGCGGTTCATGTTGGGATTCTTCACCGTCACCATCATGATGACCATCATGGTTGTAGTCCCAGTAGTGTTCGCCGTACCCTCCGTGTTTGTCACCCCATCTTACCTTTGATCACACAAAGATATTATTTATTATTATGGTTTTTTAAGGTTTTGAGTAATGTGCTACTTTGGTTTTGAATTCGCCTGCATGCGGATGTGCTTTTTCGTGACGTTCAATGAAATGATGCTCGTTGCCTCGCTTGTGCCCAATCTCGTAGTGATCTTTCTCGGGTACATGCGCATATCTGTTAGTCACACAGAGAAAATGAAAATTAGTAGCTCTTAGTGGCAAATAGTAAGCAACAAGTCCGTAAATCCACACAAAATTGTGTTTATTATTATTGAGAAAAGTGGAACCTTTCCCTGTCGCTTTAAATTCCTCAGGTTCATCTTTTCGTAGCGTTGTTCCCAGTCATGTGGTGTTTCCCGCACATGACCAAACTCTAATTCTTCAGGTGATTCCTGAGCCATGTATAAATCTCTATATGTTTAAATGACTTATTATTATTGAATGAAATTCATGCATTAACTTTTTATGTTTTTGACTTTTTCTTTTAAATTTGGTTGTAAAAGTAAACTTACTGGAAATATTTCGATCCTGCTTGAACAGCGCTAGCAAATCCTGTTTCAGCACTGATTGGGTCATCCAATAAATGCGCTGGTCCTTGATGAGCAGTATCACCACTTTGTTGAGCAGCTAGATGTTTGGTAGCCTAGAGAACAAAATAAAATTCACTTTTATTGCACTGTCATTTGATGGTAGGTCTGATGATTACCTGCAAGCAGAGCAACGTTGTTAAAGTAATGCGGATCATCGTAGCTAAGAAGCCGAGACAGTTGTGCTGCGATGCTGCGAAGAAGTCGAAGAACTGAATGTCCACTGCATGGCGCAATTATCTTTTATAGTAAATCGGGCGGTGGTGATTTTCGAAGCGTTTGTATAGCGGTACGACGAAACCAGCCGCAGATAACCGCAAGCTGGTGCAAAAAACGTTTTTGCATCGCTACCGTTGTCGAAACGCCGCATTTCTAGACGCATTCCGCTTTCTAGCCGAAATTTCTTTTGTGCGCGCCGCGTGTTTCTTCATCCGCCAGTGCAACCGTTTCAGATTTCCGCGTGCTCATTCTCGATTCGCGTTTAACACTTGATTGCGCACTGGAACGCAATGGTACACGACGTGAATTGCTTTCGATTCCGTTGGGATTGCAGTGATGTTGGCAAAAAGTCGCAAAAAGTAACAATGCTTATTGAATGAATAAATTTAGTCAACCAACGACGGTTATTCATCAACAGTAGAAATAAAAACATAAAAAACAAATAGAACATCGTTCAACGTACAAGTTTAACACATTTCTTTGGTTTTTACAGAAAAATATACTTTATTCGACGCAGTTTTCTATAAAAATGCAAAACATAATTTTTTTAAAAACAGGAATCAATATTCAACGAAAGCAAGGGTTGAAAGGTCGAAATTTTGTTGTTTTTAGTGTTCAACAATGGAATAAGTTAATTTGTTAATATAATACATAAAAAAAATAGAAAGTCTTGGTGGCATATGAGCTATGCATGAAATCTTCTTCCTTTTATAAGAAAGTTGTCAGAAGTTCGATCAGGTCACGACGTAACATCGATAAACAAATATCAAAAGTAGCAACTCTCGTTTTCACTCGCAACTGAATATGTCGTAGGTACCCAACTTCAGTTATTAGCTCGCATCAATAAATCAGCGCATTTCAACAAGAGTCGACTTTTGTTGCTCGGCGTCGTTCAACAACCGCACGAATGTAATCATGTCATCATGGGCCAGCCGCAGTCTCCTTCAGCGATGGTTTTGTCTCTTTGATGCGCGTACTCGCGCGTCTGGACAAAGAAAAGTGTGTTAAGAAGGAGAAGCGCGCGTGATTCTTCTTCGCGGCGGCGGACGTCACACGTCAGGAGGCTGCCGAACGCGCGCGTGAATGCACACACACCTGATCGCCCGCCGAAATTAAAAGTGAAAGCGTTGTTTCGCGCAGAAAGATTGATGTGTAACAAGTGCAAGTGTGATGTGTAAAAAGACGCTTTAATCGGTGCTAATTAGAGAGATATTTAGTACAAGGCGAGAAGGTAATTAAAATGTGGTTAAGTGGTTGAATTTGTGTGTGATCGCGTGGAATTGGTGGATCTGTTGGAGCGAATCGCGATTCGTTTGACATTTCGTGCGCGCGCTGTGTGTGTGTGGTTTTTCTTCTCTTAATTCGATTGTGCCCGCCGACCTCAAGTTGTTGCCGAGCACAAACAACGAAAACGCGCAAAAACTCCAGTACGCAAGGATCACAGGCTCTATTTCCTCCTCGCGCTTCCTCATTCTTCAGCGCGCGCGCGCGCATTGTTTAACGCTCGCCCAATACCACCACAGTAGCGCACGAAGAGACAAAAGCATACGCCGGACGTGAGCATACGTGTTACAGATCAAGATCGCGATTGTGTGTGACTTGAGTGGACAGTGCGATTGAGAGTGATCGCGACCTGGCGTCGGCCGTCGGTGTGTCGTGGGTGTTGGTTGTTCAATCGCTAATGTCTGCTGCCAGTACGTGTGTGCGCGGCTAAGGTTCGCGCCGTGTTATGTCTTGTCGTGCGCGCGACTTGGATTTCGTTCTCTTTGCATTTCTCGCACGAAGGTCGAACGCTATTAAAACTGGACCGTCGCCAGAAATCGCCGGCAATATTTCTGCGCGTGCGGTGCGGTAGACTACGAACACGGTCAAGCCACGTACGGAATTGAAATTTAAACAACGAAACAAAAAATTATTGCCGAATTGTGCGCTTTTTGTTAAAAAAATAATTTTTTCCGCGATTCAAGCAGTTTTCGTTCGGTTCATCGAAGTTCATCAGCACACATCCGCGAATGCAAAGTGCGCGCGGACGGTGAACGCGACAGTGTCGCGAGAGAGTGCGTGCGAGAAGAGTTCGTGACATGCGATGGCGTTGCTGAACTACACCGCGTCGAACCTCTACCAGCCGCCGGCGGCGACCGCGTACGTGCAGCCGCCGCCACCGCTGCCAGCCGCGTATAGTTACCCACGGCCGCAGACACCCTTCGACGCTGAGGAGGCGACATATCCGCCGCCCGCGACGCCGCATTACACGCGCGTCCAAGGCGGCGGCTCCAAGGCGCAATTGCACGCCGTGATTGACTACGACTACTATGATGATGGTGCGCCCGCCGCTAATGGTGGCCGCCAGCAGCATCAGCCCGCCGTCACCCCCATTCAAGGGCCCATTTATCTCAAAAACGGCAGCGTTCCGGTAGTGCCGCTCTATTCCTATCCGCAGCTCAACAATGGCACTTTTGTACAAATTCCTGTAAGTTACCATCATTACCACGCCAGTTAAGCATTACTTATACTTATACTATCATCATGCATGATGCATGTACTCGTATTACAACACCAAATTAATGCATGCAAGCAAATTTTAATTATAAAATAAAATAATTTCATTTGCCTTCCGACCAAATTAAATGCTTTGTTTTTTCATTGTTCGCCGCGTTCGAACAGTTCTTGTGCTCGTTCGTGAGTACATTTTTGTGAACGCTGCGCAAGCTTTCATTCAATTCAATTTTATTCCATGCAATTGCGATAAATCTCAAGGGTATGGGCGCCGCTTGCGCGGTTCTTGCGCTCGCTGCTCATGTTCATGTATTACGCCGCTTATGCGCGCTCCCCGTGTAATAATAATTCCATTGTGAGTCGCGCGGATCGCAGCTTTTTTTTTGTTGAAATTCCGAATGTGTCTTAGGAGCGCGCGGCAATCGCCGCCATCAGCAAGCAGCGCGTGTCTTGCTTTGCGTCGGCCTGCATTAAGCGACATGTCTCTTTCATCGTGACGTGCGCAGAGTAACGAATTCAATTGTTAATAAATATTTATGCCGTGTTATGTAAGCAAAGTTTCTTCAACTTTTATGATGAATTTGGTAAAAAATCGAAAATTTTTGATTTTTGCAACGAAAATGCAAGTTTCTGATGAGGTGACCAAAAAACCTTTGCAGAGTTATTTTGCACACACAGAAAGTTTAATAACCTCGTATAAAAGTTATGTTAATTATCGATGATTATTATGATTGTGTGCGATTAATGCACGGTGTGCAATCCGTCAGCGCGACTGGTTCAATGATTCACCGCGCAAGCAATGCGCAATTAGGCATGACTACAGGTCCACAATTATTATCGACATCATCTTTGCATAATCCATCAGCCGATCGACGTGAATCGCACTTTTTTTTTCTTCTAGATTTTTACCTGTGCGCAAATTAAAAACAACAAAACGATTAGAATCATGCGAATTCAATTGAATCCATCGATAGAGTAAAAATATGTCAATATTTTCTGCGTGTAGAAAATAACACGTTTGTGTAATTAATTAAAAACTCTTAATAAGCGTTTAATTGCTTCGATTTGCAGCGTTGGTATTATAAGTGCCAATACGGTCTTAATCATACTTATTTATTTATTAATGGGCTTGTACATGTCTGCGAGCGGTTATTAACTATTGGTATCGTATCGTGGCGTGCTTCGACGTCTCTCCACTTGGCAAGTCTTTAGGTCTTGAGGCGAAGTTGAAGTTTAGATTGGCGACCATTCCACCAGTGAACATGCGACACAAATTGGACGCGGCCGGTGCATTAAAGTCGTACCCAGTGCATAATACCGCAAATTTATGCTCTTGTTGTCGACCTGCGTTCGCAATAAACAGTTCATAGAGCAATAATGGTCGTAATTGCGCGTTTAAGCGCTTTCCACACCAGCTATTATGTATTATACGGAGACAAACACCGAAACAAGCGACAAGACTTGCAATTTTGCCAGCGATATACGTGATTGCGAAATTAGGCAAGCGATTATAATCATTTTAGATGTTTCTGCATTTATGTCAGGCATTTCTACCTTCGTAAATTGAAATTTTTGTGCACATTCTGTAATCGCAGTTATAATGATTTTATAGATGTTTTGAAAGTGTTATTAAACTGTCCAGACTTCTAAGCGAAGCAGTTTTAGAATTGTTTGATGTCCAATTAAATAAACTTTAATTTAAGGTCAATAGTTTGATGATTTTATTCTTTTATATCAGTTATAATTGACATTTTTGAAGGTGTAGATGTGTTGACTTAGTTTTTACACGCATGAAACAGTAATTCATTATCCACACACCTTGTAATTATTTTTTCTAAAATTTTTCTACTTCCACTTTTAAATCGTCCGTTTATCCACGATTTTGAAACACAAAAAGTGGTAATTTAAACACGGACAACCAAGGTTGTACTTTAGTCACGGGGTGGAACTTACGCCTGCGTATTTGTCTACGGTGCAGCACAAAACCATTAAAATACAAAAATATTAAACCATCGGTTGATTTAACGCTCGCTCTTAATCAATCTCGTGACTAAAACTCCCGTTTAGCCACTTGATACTTAATATACTATTTTTTGTGCGCATCTACAACTTTTAAAAAACTTTAATTTATGTACCACGTTAAAGTTTGTCTCGCTAACCGTGCGAAAAAGACTACTGTTTATCCCAAATACAAAATAAATACGCACGAGAGTTCTAAAACGTTTTATTTTATAGTATGGTATAATAGAAGTTTCTTGCAGGCAATATCACATGACCGCGACTCGTTAGTGAGCGTTCAAGCGTATCGAATTAATAACACACCGTAAATTGATATTGTTTCAATTCGCGGCTTTATTTAATGCCATATTGAAATATCGCGAGCGGCGTAATTGCAACAGATGTATTAATAACGGGCGGCGATTACGAAAATGTCATATCGGAAGAATGCGCGCCCGCGAACCAACGCGCGAGAGCGATTTATCGTCGCCGTCGACCCAATTCGCTAATCAGACTGACTACGATTCTATCAAACACCGGCGTTATTACTTATTACGTTTCGCCCGTTAAGGCTTAACGATGAATGAATGTTTATTGTTGAAGGCGCGCGTTGAAGAGCATTGCGCAAACCGCGCACAATAAACATACACACGCCGACCAGACACAATCAAGAATTACAATTAAACGTACAAATTAAAACCTTCCAACGTTCGGATTTTGAATGTTGTGAATATTTTCTGATGGTTTACGACTTTTTCATGGCGCATTATGCGAGGTGTATTAATTATAGCTTAGAAATGCATTTTTTTCAATTTTTATCTTTTTTATGTAAAACTTTATGTTGTTATTATTTATACGCTCAAAGTAAAACCAAATCTAGATTTGCGCGAATTTCGCGTTTGATGTGTTTTTTGTTTTTGGTTCGTTCAGCGCTTATTTGCTACCGACTCGAATGGGTTTGCTCGCTGTTTGTATCAGATGTGTACGTGTGTGTGTGTGCGTATTTGTAAATTGTAAAAATGAAGTGAGCAGTTAGAAGGTCCTTTCACCTTTTTGAATGGAATCGGGTTCGGCGCGCATAACCTTCGTCTTTTCATCGGTTGGACGGTCGACGGTCGCCGATCAGATCTCGCAGCTGGATGTCCCGTGTCTTGTGGTTTCATTTTTATTCAATTTTACCACACAATGCGTGATTTCGATGAGGAATCGAGCAAATAATATTTATTGCGTGTGTAAAATAGGTCATTTAATCACGCAGAGAATTAAATTTTGATCGTTAAAAAACAATAGACTATAAAATTACATCTTTATTAATTAAAATATTACGAAATTTTAATAGTTTCGCAAAAAAAAGTACAAAATAACTATTTTTACCTGCTGCGTATGTCAAAAAATCCTTTTTACATCTAATATTTACACACGAATATAAAAAAGTCTTTCCATGACTTTCCATGAATCACGTGTTAGGTGAAAACTATCAACTAAATAGGTATTTCCAGAGGCAATAAACATTAATGTGCAAATGTGCGAATGCGCACATTTTGTTAGTCACGCCCGAGTGAAAGAAACGCCGTATTTTCTCACGCCAATGAACTAATTGAAAATGTCAGCATCGATTCAGCGTCTATTTCTAGCGCGGCTTAATTGAAAGCGTCGACGGTAATGCACGTGTGCGCTAAGTGCATGAGCGTTGTTGTTACTCAATCGATGTCGAATCAATTCACGCGAACGAACGCCAACATCAAACAACGCAGCCAAACGTATTCATTTGTTTACACAACATACGCGGCATGGCGGTCTTTCCAAGAGTGCTTCTGTCTGCGGATTTAAGTAGGAAGCAAGCTCGTAATTTATGTCTCGCGAGTGACTCACGCCGATTTTCCACCGCAGAGCAGAGCAGCTCGACATAAAAGCCTACGCGCGCACTTTCGATCTCGTTTTGGCATTTGCCGATGATCAAGATGTAGGCAAGATGTGTGTGTGTGTGTGTAATGTGATCATCAATTACCGATTCGACCATTGAAGGAAGAGTAGTGTTCGTGTCGGTAATTGCTCATCTAGCCTAGACATGATTTCTTTAGTTCTTCACCACAGTCCATTTGTGCAAGTAATCCGATTTCGGTCTCGATTCGCACAACTCTCAATTTCGTTTCGTTCGCGTATTCGCGTGCGCAAGAAAAGCACATCAGCTACAAACACAACTTGTTCGCGACCTTCGCGACGATCGCTTCCATCTCGGATGTTGCTCCACGCTCATGGCACTCATGATATAACACAACTGCGATTAGAGTAGCATCAGCTGTAGCCGAGCGTGAATTTATTTATATTCCGTACGCGAATACAAAGCGATGCATGAAGTGGCTATGCGTGAATTTCGCGCATTACGTAAACTTTTCTGCATGCAGCCACATTCGGTGGATGCGCGTGAATAATAATGAAAGACATTCGTAAACGATGATAAACCGACGCCGCGGCGGTTGGAAGTCAGCGTAGAAATCATCTCATCTTTCATCTGCCATCACACCATCTTTCGCCGTTTGTATGTTTTTAACACGCGTTCATAAATTAGCAAAGTTAGTTACGAATGCGCGACGCGTCGTGCAGGTTTCCAGCGCGCTGCTGTGTTCATCTCAGTAGAAAAGTGTTGCTAAATATTGATTAGAATGTGAACGGGGGGCGCAAAGAAAGACGAATCTTGTGCGGTGTGTCATCCTGGTGATTACAAACAACTTGTCTGGTTAATTAAGAGTTGCTTCAGCACGCAATTAACATCGAAAGCAGTTTTATAATGTCGAACGATGACTCGCCTGCAGAAATTTAGCCGGAATTTATGGGTCTGTGTAGAAATATATAGAAATATTCGGTGGTATCTTAAAAGCCACTGACAATAATCGGAATTTACGACACGAGTTTCGGGAAATAAATAAATTTCGCGACCGCAGGCGGCGCCCGAATTAAATTAATAAACGTGCATTCCAATCATCTGTATTAAACTTCCTATAAACCGATTGTTGTCTTGGTAGTCGCGCTTTCCGGAAGTCATACCATCAGACATCATACCCGGACTTAAGGGTGCGTCAAGGCCTTTGCCCGGCGACGCGAAGTTCACGTGCGACGGTGCACAAACAACCGCGACTGTCACATTCGATTTAAATTTCTATTTACACTTTTAAAGCAATAAACAATCAACAAATTTGGGCGCGTGCGATACACATACATCTGATTATAAATTGATTTCGATGTCGGAGGCCGCAATTCATCATGTCGCTCGCGATATTTACATAAAAATTAAATCACGATGTGAAAACAACTTAGCGATTTCCGCATTATCGGCCACACATTCACGATATTCGATAATAAATTTACAAATTCTTATTTGAGTTTTGTTACTCATGCTGGAATTAATTTAGTAATGGAGCAGGCGCGATTTACACACTGGAAGTTTAGATCCGTGTGTTTTTTTTCCTCGCTCGATTCGTAAGACGGCGTGAACAATTGTGAGGCTTTTTGTTTCCCATTGGATCGGCACCGGGATCGCTCATCCGGAACCGAGATCTCTCGCCATCTCGACGGTTCGATGAAAAAGGGAATTCCTAAACAGTCACTCGAACAAATACGTGTTTTAATTATACTGGCCAAGCGGTGTTTGGAAGCAATTGTGAGGCATCACATGCGATTTTTATTGCGCGCTGATTTGTTCATTAAACATTCGGTATGTAAATACGTGAAATGAATCGACATCATCGGATATCACGACCGATCGATGCGGTTTTTAATCGGCGTGCTATTTTTATCGTCGCGCGCAAAGTGGTTTGTGTGATATTTTCGATTTAAATAGAAGGAACACTCGTGTTAATTCGCACACTTTAGTTAACATCGCATTCACGCACTTGTACTCATCCGCATCATCATCATCCGAAAAGATGGCTGCGTTACGCTGGTTGTGCTTATTGCAGATTCTCTGGACGGCGTTATCAGTCGCACTGGGGCTGGAGCTCCGCGGGGAGTTCATTCGTGGTGTGCCATGTATAAAACGTTATCAGCAGTTATTTTGCCCATCCGCTGGCAATTCCTATCCTTTGTAAGTGATAAAAAATAATTTTGTGCATTTGTATAAAAAAATCTGTCGTAGAGAGCGAATTGAATCGTTCATTGATGAAAACAAAGCGTTGATGAAACGCATGTACGGTGAGTTTACGATGGAGCCGCCGGAATACACGCCGGGGCCGGCGCCGCCCACGGATTACGGATCCACTACGTCCCGGAAGAGTAAACGACAGGCGAATCTTCCACCGGGAGTGCCGGATATTCACACGATTCCGGGCGCGCAGGCATTCTTCGGCAACCAACGGCCACCACGACAAAACAATCGAAATTCCACCTCTGACACCGGACGGTAACTAAATATTTATAACATTGTGCATAACAGTGAATAAAACTCATTTTTGTTTAGAATTGATGCTTGTGAAAGTAAAGTGGAGATTGTGACACCGTACTGGGCATCTAACTCCGCAGGAAAAATACGTGCAGTTGTCAATACTCAACATTTCGAACAAGCTATACATCAAGAAGTTTGCGCGTAAGTTTTTTTTTCCTTTTTTTGTTTGGAATAAATTAAAGTAAAAATTGATTGATTTCAGTAAGGGCAGGACAAATCGTTGTTCGGGTGATTGTGGCTGCGAGCAAAAGTACAAATGGCATCGCCTGTTGGCCTACGACCCCGACAATGACTGCAAGGGCATCTTCATGGACTGGTTCCTCTTCCCATCGTGCTGCGTATGCCGCTGCAATCCCATCTAGACGGGATCTTTGTCAAAAAAAAACTATGAAAGTATTTCGAGAGCACAGTGCCAAATCAAGTTCATCAATACCACGAGTATAATGAATAATCTAATGGAAATATAGGAAGAAAACGCTGATATATAAAAGGAAATCTATGCAACTTTTATCGCGTTATTTATTTTATGCACTAGTGCGCATGCGCATTCCAATCGACAACTGCCAAATGAAGAGAATCGATCATTTCGTGCAGCTAGTGCATCTAGTGTAATATTTATGCAATATTATCAGCAAGATGATTGTTGCGGACAAGAAACAGAAGCAGCGTTTTTGTTTGTAAGTTAAGATTGATTTCTAGGCTAAGATTTTGATAAGAATTCAACGCGTCACCGCATGTTACCATTTCCTGTTTGATATAGAAACGGCAGGGCCGATAACAAATACCATTAAATAAGCCATATCTACGTTAAGTTTACTTTCATTAGGTTTTTAAATGTATGCTCTATGAATATCGAATAAATGTAGAAATTTTTCACTAAAATCACGTAGCGACCTCTAGACCGGTGATCCCCCTAATATCCTGCGACTGCGAATTTCCTGTTATTCCTGTTAGGTCACACCGGGCTGGCATCGATCAATATTTTGTTCTTCCAGATTACTGAAGAGGACAGCACAGAGTTGCTTTGCATCGGAAATATCAGATTAGGAAACGCTGAGAGGTTCCCGGAAGAGAGTCGAGGGTTTTATTTGAATTGAATATCATGTGAATTTTACGGACAACTTTGTTACATAAGATAATCTACATATAATTTAATTTCTTTTCGTGAAATGGCTGTAAATTCGTTCGAAAAACATATTTTCGCGAATTTCTGCTTGTTGACAATGGAATGAACAGTGTTTCAAAGATACATTTATCTAATTATATTGTACGAGTATTTTGCTTTTACCTGGAATTTTATAATAACGATATTTATTTAACTGGTATCTAAAAACAAACCGTTTTATTGATTTTAGCAAAGTAAATGTATAATAAAGCCATAGGAGAATAGTTTCTGTAAACATTGCGTACAAGTGTAGAAAAAATGAAATTTCGCGAAAAATGCATACTTTAGTCACGGGCATTATTTACGGGGCGGAGCTTGCGCCTGCGCATTTGCCTACGGTGCAGCACCAGACCATATAAAATGCCGTGCGTCGCCAAATAAATATTCAACAGATTAAAGAAGAGTATAATCAACTAAAAAGTAATTAACTAACCTGAAGTATAATCATAGCCGTGTTTATTTTTTTAAGTACTCGTAGTGCCACTTGTATGGTGCCCATTTGAAATTCTAGTTTATAGCGTCTGGTATCACGAAATACTACACACATTCGACGCAATAAAAAGGATTGAGTTTTCCAGTGCCCAAATTGAGCATCGTCGATTATCCGGGCTCCCCAGAACGAGGTGATAATATCTGTTAATCGAAAAAAGCAAATGCAATTGACCCGGCGCCGGCATTATGCGTCGCGCATAAATCCCATATATAAAATTTATTTATGTATTTATGGTGCGCGATCGTAAAAAAAGGAACAACACGCGCGCTAGCCCCCCACGGAGGCGGAGGCGGTTTCGGAGGCGGCTGACGGCGCGGCCGTCTCGTAAAATTCGCTCGCCATAAATATACAGCCATTCGGCGCGGATACGTGCATGGATGATAGCCGGGATGGATGTTCGATATCCCATCGTCGAGCCGCACCACCACCGCGTGCACCCCGCAGCCGCCCACCCCCCCCGGCGGCAGACGGCCGGCATTAAATCCCGAAAAAATCGCCACTATATTGTTTTACGACGTCGATAATATGTTTTTGCTCGTAGTTTCAACATTTATTTCATAATTTCATAAATCTCGGATCACACAACCCGCCCGCCACTGAGAGAAACGCACGCCAATTTTATGCGATATAAATTGCTTATTTAGCGACTTTGTCGACGCGTACGCAAACTTTTTTCGACTCTCTTGACAACCGCCAGGTGCAAAAACTCAATTAACACACACATGCTAAAAGGTGAGGTGGAAACGCATTATCCACGTTTGTGTATAATGAAATCGGAGCGTATCGGAAAACAAACAGACGCAAGCGGAAAAGTGAATTTGAGCGTAATGTTATTTTAAACCGTGCAAGCATATTCCGTAATAGAGTCGGCGGGCGGATTGAAGATCGAACAAGCAGTAATCTGAGGAATACATGTCAATTTATGAAGTTCAAATTGGGTGCGCGCAAACGGCGTCGACGGACTTATAATCGAATCGCTTTTGCGCTCGTACAATGTCAATACGCGGATGGCGGCGGCGTCGTTTAGCTCACGCCGAACTAGTCGATTTTAAAGTTTTTATGGCGACGTACGTGCGCGCCCGCAGCCCGTCCTCCTCCTTTTTATTATTATCCCGTTTCATTATTTTACTACTTTGGTACGTTTATTCGGCAGATAAAGATAAAAGCGCCGGTTACGTATATGCGAAGTGCTTTTTTGGCAATCCGTAACCGTGTCGCGTGTATAGGTAAATCCCCGGCGTACATGTGTTCCGCGCAGATAGGACACACACACACACACACCTACACACACATGGGGGTTGCGTTGCTACGCCGCCGCCGCCGCTGCCGCTCCGCATGAGCCGGTTGGCAATTTTATCTGTCCATGGTCCATTTCCTGTTTCCGGCATTGAGTAGATAGCACTCCTAATACGGAAAACGATCCGTCGCAGTCGATATACGCTCCGCGTATCTATCTCGCGTGTGTCCTACGGGTGCGTTCTTTCGCCGGCGCCCGGCGGGCGTGTGTGGGCGGCGGGGTGCTTTTAAACGTTCGCGCCCCACCCGGCCGGCAGCGGCGACCGCAAAATGTGGACCTTTATCTTTCTCCGTCGTTTCTAGCTTTCTGGCGCGTGTTCACCAGCGCGCCCGCCCGCCCCCTGCACTCCAGGGCCGGCTGCCTTCTTTCCCACTATATTATCACACGTCGTCGCCGCCGCCGCCGCCGCATTCGGGTTAAGTTTTAATCAGCTCTTTTTGCACTAATTATCGGCGTTTCGGTGCGGCGCCACGGCGGAAAACGCGCGTTCAGCACTCATAATCCTCGTTATCCTTTTCGTCCTTGCGCTGCTGCTGGATTATGATGATTATGTAAGCCGGCGTGCTCAATGATATTTTATTGCGGCCCGCACCTACTAATATCAATTAGATCTCGACGGCGAACGAGGTTTTTTCCATGTCTTTGTCGCCGCAAAAAGGGTTGCCCTTACCCTTAAACAAGGGACGAGGCAAATCCGTCGCGCGGTCCCATGTCGCTCTTTTCGCCGCCGCTTTTTATTATGGCTAACCCGACTCGTGTCGTCTTTCATCATCGGCTCCGGCGGCGGTGCCAGCGAGGTGCGAGAGCGCGGTGAATACGAGTCAACGCTCCACCGCCGCTGCCGCTGCCGCCGCCACCGCCAGCATGCGTTGCACACTGTTCAGCCGCTCAGTCAATCTGTCAGTTGCCACCGCCGCGTTCCGCGTTCCCGCCCCGTCGTCATCGGATTATGTGCCGATGTGGCAGCGTAGAAAATTTCCAATTTCGATACTGCCGCCGACCCGCCAGCAGCCGCCGCAAACAGTTCAATACCCAAGTGTGGAAGACGGTGAGAGAGGCGCGCGCGAGAAAAAATCGTATTTGCGAGCTCGCGCGAACAAACGAAACGTAACCGCCTGATGACGTGTCGCGACGAATTTTCGATCTTTTTTATGTCTGCGTGGATGTCACCACCGGCCGGCTCACGGCTGGAATTGCCACCGATGTCTTTCATTCATGCGCTAATAGCAGCGCGCACGACGACGAGATGAAAGCCTGTTACGTGCGGCGGCAAGTGCCTCTGCTGCCTCGTAATCGCATCGTGGCGTAACATATCGACGGCGGCTGCCCGGGTCCCCAATCATATTTGCCGCGGCGAAATTTTTATTAATTTACAGCGGCCGAGGTGGCGTTTACGACGCACGTCAAGAATTTCGATATTCGGCGGCCGGTTCGTTGCCATTTCACGGTTTGTTAGTCAATCAAATCGAAATGAAACGAAACGGGCGATCATTGGATTTGTTCGATTACTCGATTTTCACATTGCTCTTGTTGCGTCGTTCGCCGCCCAGCGCGATACTCAACACGCAAAGGAGCACGCGCAATGAAACGCGAAATATTTCATGAATCATAAATTTCATCAGCGAATCATTTTCCACGCGCTGCTAGCTTAACCCCCTTCAAATTGGCAAATCGTTTTGTTAGTCCAATTGAAATATTATATGTTTAATAAATAACTGACTTATTTCGTAACAATCAGTACGGTTCTTTGCACAGCATTTTTATTTAGCTTTTAGCACACTATATATTTACGTTTTCGCACGTCGGGTGCTGCTGGAAAAAGTTAGTCTACTGCCGACGCTAATTGCGAAAAAAAGCGCGCCGCAGACTGATTACAGAACTTAAAACAGCGCGACGCATGCAGCAAACAGAATAGCGGAGCGGGCAAATTGAGTAAGTAGGAAACTGTGCCGGGTTTAAGCATGCGTAAGGACATCATCGCGGCGGACAGCCAAAGCTGTCGAGCACGCAGAGCGCGCAAAAAAAAAAAACCACCACCGGAAACGATCCGAACCATGACAAAACGACATAATTGGATTTTATAAATTCATAACGGCGCGCGCGCGCGCACGCTACCTTAATACCACCGGTTGGCGGCGCGGTGCTGGCTCGCCGCCTCTCTGCCGCGGCACTTGTTTCGTTTTTGTTCGGCGCGGAAGTTTCGTTTTTAATACTCCGCCAAAGACACAATGAGGTGCGCGCGCAAAGTTTGTTTATTCCGTCGTTGAGTTCTACAACATTACAACACGACCGCTTAGACTTAATAAAAAGTAAACAAAGCACGGCAAAGGAGCCGCGAAAAATTTTCGACGAAACGTAAACAAAACAGACCTTTTAACTTTGTGATTTTCCCCGCCGACTTGCAAAGTTTGCGCGCGGTGGAGTCTGCGCGCGGAGCGTTTAATTATTAATTTATTCTCATTGCATTTGCATTTTATTGAAAAGTCAAACGCCTCGCGGAGCTCTTTCGCTGCTCTACACACGCCCGGAGGCGAATACCTGCGAACGAAAGCAAACGTCGCGCAGATTTGGTAATGAAAAACGTCGGCGGTGGTGGTGGGCGAACAAATTGGAAATTCGAAAAACGCTAACGACATCCGACAATTACCGGCCGCGGCGCCGCGCGCGGAACTATCGAGAAACTGCGGTTCATTAAACTTTTTTTTTTCTTTCATTTGCGTAATTAGTTTTAATTGCCGGACGCGTTCGTCAGCTTCTCCTTTCAGTTTCACGCTTGCGTGGCGTTCTGATTTTAAGATTAATTTTCTAAAAGCGCGCGCGCCGACCGATTTCATCCATTATATTCGGTATTTTTTTCTCATTAATTTCATAAATGCTTCGACGGCCACCGCCAGCGAGAGCGATCTTCGTTCGTCATCAATCCGTCG